GGGAGCCCCAACCCCCCTGATGGGCCTTGCTCTGTGAGTGACAGGGGACAGCGCCCCAACCCCCCAATCGGCCCTACCCTGAGCGTGACTGAGGGTGGCATCGCAACCTCCTGATCCGCCCTCCTCTGTTCATGAGGGGGTGGCTCCCCAACTCCCCAATCGGCCCTGCTCTGAGCCTGACCAGGGGCTGCACCTAGGGATTGGGCGTGCCCTCTGCCACCCGGGAGCAGGCCTAAGCCAGCAGGTCGTTATCTCCCGAGGGGTCCCAGACTGTGAGAGGGCACAGGCTGGGCTGGGGGACCCCCCGCCCTCCCGAGTGCACAAATTTTTGTGCACTGGGCCTCTAGTATATATATAAAAGTCTAGCAACTGGAACAGTGGAATGGCCAGAATGACCAGAACAGCCAGTGGCTATGATGGGCCCTGTGGCAGCCAACCAGCCTGATCTGGGCCCTAATCGGCCCCACCCCCTGGCTGGCCTGGCCCCTGATTAGCCCTCAACACCCTGATCAGGGGTGGGGCCAGCTGGCCAACTGCCCTTGGCTCCTCCCCCAACCTGCCTGGCCCCCACCCATACACAAATTCATGTACCAGACCTCTAGTGTAGATATAAAAAAGTAAAAAATTTAATTTAGTAAAATTTATAACCCACCACAAGGAAGTGGGGTTTGATCAAGAATGTGAAGATGATTTAATGTCAAGTTTATTAATATAATAGACTAGCACTTGGTCACCAGGACAACAAAGAGCATAATTGTCTCAGTAGGTGACAGGAAGGTGTTTGATGAAATGAATCTCTTATTTTGGATTTTAAAACACACTTCTAATTATTGGAAATAGGATAATTTCATGATATAGCCTACCTTGAACAATATTCAAAATTATATTTATAAGTAAATATAATTATTATATTTTATTATATTTATTAATAAAAATAGTTCTAGTAGTTTTCAGAAGCGGGGGTAGAACTATCTGCTATTACCACTATTATTTAACATTGTCCTGAAAATTCTGGACTCTACGGTAAAACAGAAAATATACAAAAAAGTATAGGATTAGTTTCTTAACTAAGTGTGCAGGATCTATAGTGCAGAACACAACAAATATTTACTAAGAGATATAACAGGAAGCATAAAGATATAGAGAGACATGATATGTTCTTAAATGTGGAGTTTAAAGTGTGTAAACAAATACATTTTTCCCAAAGGGGATTTCTTTTTAAAAGCCTGACAATTTATTCTAGAGTTTTTCTGGAAGAATAAACAAGAAAGAAAAGTAATAAATATTTTTTAAATGAAGAGTAACAAGGATACGCCAACCTTACTACTTATAAAAACATATAAAAGTCTAATTTCTAAAGCCAAGTGGTAGATCAAGAATAGGCTGGTATATCAATAAAACAAAACAGGTAGTATAGAAAATAGTAGTCTTATAAAAATTAATATATAGTATAACTAGGTGGGGAACCTTTTTTCTGCCAAGGGCCATTTGGATATTTATAATATCATTTGTGGACCATACAAAATTATTAAATTAAAAAGTAGTTTGCTATATTTGGTCAAACATTTAATTAACTCACCCCTAATGCCTTGGTAGGGCCAGACCAAATGATTCCCCAGGTCTTACTAGTATATGGCCCATGGCCGGATGTTCCTAACTCCTGGTATATAACATAAATATAATATTAAAATTTACATAATATAAATTATGCATATGAGAAAACCATAAATATATACATGAATATAGTTATGATAATGGTGGCATTACACTGAGTTGAGAAATAAGTGACTAAAAGAAATATTAAATAATAAAATCTGCTGGGAAAACTAGGGACTAATTGGATAAACTAGTTTGATCTCTACTTTAAATCATATCCCAAATTAACATTAGGTTTTAAAAAGCATTAAAAGAAATTTTAAAAAAATTAAATAAATGATAATCTGATTTTGCAATGAGAAAACATTGTGCATAAAGGCAATGGAAAAAATCCCAAAGGATAAACAGCTCATACAAAATAAATAAGAAATATAACAGTAACCCAATAGAAACAAATTAATAAAAATGAAAATGAAATTCAGAAAGGAAGAAATGGCTAATAACATGGATACATGTTCATCCTCACTGGTGATTAAAGAGATGCACAGAATTGTTAAAGTAACTTCCTCAATGTTATAAGTTATTACAAGGTTATATTTGACTTGGTTGGAAAGACTTTTACAGAATATTTTGACATATACGTAGGTACTTAAGTTCCTTCTTGAGGCTCACAATAGGGCAGGACTCATGTGACAATTCAATAGTGCATGTGCTTCCATGCCAATGAGCAGGTTTCTCCCATGGGCTCTTCCACCCATGAAAATTACCATTTAGTACTCAATTTTAGATCAATGCAATGGTTCCCCTCTCAGCCAATCACCTCAGTGAGTTGCACTTCTGGGGAGATGGAGGGAGAGGAGAAAAATAATATTCAAAAAGAAAAAGTAAACTTCATATACTTACAGTTTGAGTAGATGGGTTTTCGAAATGGCTTTCCCTTAGAAAAGATAAATGCTACTGTGATACAGTTAATGGTCCCGATGGGCCACAGTGTGGTACTCTCAAAACTTAAAATTGAACCAGGAATCAGAGTTGCATTTCCAGTCCAGTTTCTTCCCAAACTCATATTTGTTGAGAAATTACTTTGGTTGTCCAGAAAGCACTCTCTACAAAAGAATCACCAGCATTTATGGGGCTTTTTATTTCATTTCTCTCCAGCTGGTGGGAAAAAATTAGTTTACCGCTACCACAGAACCTCAGCTTTCAAACTGTTCTAGCCAATAACTACCAAGACATAAAGCTCTTGCAATGTCAAAACAGAAATAAAATTCAGAGGAAGTCAAGATTGTTCTTTGTGCAGCACTCCATTTAGAAAAAGTGATCTGTATCGAAAGGGCTTGAGTGGCCATTTTCTATGGAATTCCTTTTAATTCAGTCTCAGAGTAAATGTGTGTGTGGGTCTCCCATCCAAGTACCAACCAAGCCTGACCCTGCTTAGCGTCCAAGATCAGGCTAGATGGGGTATGCTGAGTCCTGATTTTGAATCTGCCCACTCTCTCTTCACACAACCAAAGGCTCTTCCAGAGGATTTGAACATAACACTCTCCTGCTTATGAGTGTTTATGGCTTTGTTTTGCCAATAAATTAAGTTGAAACTTCTTAGGCAGGTCCAGAAGACCTCCAGACTCTGATCTCAATGTATCTTTCCAGCCTTATCTTTTGCTAGTTCTTATAGACTCCTTATATTCTGAACATATAGGAATATTCCCTCCCCCCCCCAAAAAAAAATCAACATTTGCATACCTCTGGGGTCATATGTGCTATTCCTTCTGAATGTCTTTACATTTGCTGGCCAGCATAACCAGTGCCCCCATTTTTCCCTCTTAGTGCTGTATTGTTTTGCAAGTATTCATTCACATGTTTTTATTTTCCAGTCCTGGGATTAGAATTCCTTGAATATGGAGTTTTCCTTTTGGTTTTATTTATTTTGTTTTACTCAGATTTTCAACAAATCCTTAGCACCTAATACAGTGATGCCACATAGCATTTGCTCAGAAAAATATTTAAGATATGGGCTTTCCCACTTCTGATGGAGCTTTGCGCAATGTTTATTTTTGTCAGTATCAAACTCACAAATCAGTTTCCAACAGTTTTCTTATTCAGCTTGAAACTTTTTACTATTATAATTGTTAATAAGTAACTTTTCTTTTCCAATTGTGACCTCAAATACAAGACTTAAGTCTTATTATTCTTGGCTCCCTGGAGTTCTAAAATGTGTTTTGCATAGAGGAGATGTTGAGTTAAAGGTTGCTTAATAGATTAATGAGACAATCAGTAGTTAAGAAAGCATTCTTGCACAAAGTGGACGGATAAACTAGAAGGGTTGAAGTACAGAGTTTAACACTAAACTAGGATATCTAATTCAATATACTTACATTGCAGATAAGAAAGCTGAGGACTAATATGACTTAGCTAATTAATGATAGAGGCAGGACTACCCATCCATCATCCTTTTGCCTACACCATGTTGTTTCCTGGATTTCATCAGACCTTTACTTCTCTGAATATGTGCACTTCAATTTGGGGGGAAATCTGGTTTTGAAACAAAAATGACTTCCATATTTCAAGTAGTTGAATTTCTGACTTTGAGGTCTAAATGACAACTTTAGACATCATTTGGTACTTTTCAAACTATCTTTCACTGGTTCCTGGAGTTCTGATGCCTTCACAACCACAGTGGAGTGAGGGAGAGTTTCTACAAGCCCGACTTCAAAAAGAACAGCACTTGGCTTGCCTTTCCTTTTGGAGGCCAGGCAGGCTTTATTGGAAAAAATAAGTTAAACATCTATGGCATAGTTCACCTCAGCTAATCCTTAATCTATAGTTAAAGAAATTAAAGCTCTGGGAATTGGAAAGATTTTCCCAAAGTAATTTAAGCAAATCTCTTACATATCAGGGGCCAGCTGGCTTCAGCCCACTCACCAAATCCAACCCACCAACTGTTTTTGTGAATGAAGTTCTATGGAACATAGTCACATCCACTTGTTTACATGTTGTCTGTCTATGGCTGCTTTTTCACTCTAACAGCAGAGTTGAGTAGTTGCAACAGAGACCATCTAGCCCACAAAGCCAAAACTATTTACTATCTGTCCCTCTACAAGAAAAGCTTGCCCACCTCTGGTCTATATGATATCCAATCTACCAGGGAGTTAATTCAGCCAACCAACTGTCAGATCTATACCTCAATAACCAATATAAAATGTTCTATCCATTCCACATGGCTCACCACAGGACTCCACCCATCAACTGTGTTCTGTGATCTATCTCACCATTGGTATTTTGCAGTGTGGGGACACAACTTTTGTTAATTAAAATTTTAGGGTATAGTTCAAACCCAGTTGTACAATGTCATTGGTAGTCATCATATCACCTTCGGAAAGGAAAAGTAAGGAACTAACCATTACCTGTATCTGTAGACCTCACAGTACCAGGGCTGCTGCTTCACAAAGAGAAATGCACAGATCTGCACAATGCAGGTGAAACAGGTATTCAACAAGACTGAGAGCAGCAAAGGGGGAGAGAGGAGCTGTCCTGCTGGTCGGTATGGAGCCAGCTTTGGGTAGGCATGAGTTGAACTCACTGAAAGAGAAATGCATTTTTCCCAGTTACACTTTCATTGTTGAGAATAAAAGATTGAGATGCATATTATTTTGAGTCTTGCCTTATGGCTCAGATTCAGCACATGTGAGTTGAGAATTTATATCTAGGAAAGCACATTGTCCAGTTGCAGATCCAATGCTATCAGGCTTTGCCTCTTTCCTTTGGTTTTACCTTCAGAAATGAAAAGTATGGATTAAAAAGTTCTGTAATTAGTAAATTTACCATATTGCATGGGGCAAATATTTTCTCTACAACCAGACTTAGCAGGAATGGTATATAAGAGAAGAAGGATGGCCTTTCATATGCATAAGCATTCCTATTACTTCTCAGTAATGATGGAAAAGTGGAGAGTTAAGAGGAGGAGAGTAAGAAAGCATCTAGGTAGACTAATCTTCATAGGGTAGCACAGTTTTTTAAAAAGCATTTGTTCTGTTGTTCATTCAGCAAATATTCTCTGAATATTTCTATCTATCAGGATAAATGTTAGAGATGTGCTCTGTTCCCTCCTGGAAATGTGTCTCAATGGAGAACTACTAGAGTACATTAGACTCAGTTAGGAAATAGAGCTCACAAAAAAATCTTGCTTCCAGATGAGAATGTTAAAATATGGTATCTACATCCTCCTGAGAAGCCACACATTCTAACAAGTATATATATATATGAAAATGGAATGCACTGCTTAGGGCAGAGCAGGAAAGAAGCATGGGAAGGTCAGAAATTAGATACATCACATTTAAAGGTTTATATCATAGTCATGTTTCAGTTCTTGCCTTCATATCTGTCACCTTGTCCCTTTTCATAACTTAACACTGATTTCTTTGATGTGAGGAAGAAAATAAAGTGTGTATGCTTAGGTTTGTGATGGGCATTGGGTGTCCAGTTTGGGATAATAAAACTCTAAAGTAGTTTTTCAGTTTGCTCGATGTGTTTTCTGGGGTAATCATTTTAAACTCTCTGTATAAAATGAATGTGTTGGAATGTCTACAAGGTCTCCAAAGGCTCTTCCAACTCATTTACTCTAAAGCTCTATGACTAAGGCTTTGCCTTTACCAATTTAAGCAATATTTCCCCAAGAGGGTGCTGGGCTAGAAGTTATGGGGTATTCAGAGAAGAAGGACTCTCATCTGCTATCAAAGAGCTTGCAGTCTAATAGAAGACATAGATGCATTGTGTAATAAAGATTTTGTCTGGCCTTTGTCCCAGGCTATTGGGAGGTTATCTCAAAACCCTTGGAATAAAGAATTGGGTTGGCTTTTAACCCCATTTCCTGGGATATACCCTCTAAAATCCTTGGGATTTTTCTGAGTCAATAGGAGTATCTTTGTTATTCATAGTGAGTCCTGATAGCTCATGCCAACAAGATGACTCATGGTGGGCCTGAAGAGAGTTTGTGCTAAGGAGATGACTCAGGATGGGATCTGGCATGCCAAAAAACAGCTGTGTGATTGGAGAATTGGGACTTTAAACTCCTGACATCAGGCTAATCTTCAGAGAGAGAAGAGGAGCTGGGATTGAGTTCAACTTCATGGCCAATGATTAAATCAATTATGCCTCAATAATGGAACTGCCATGGAAACTCCACACATGGGAGGTCAGGTGTGTTTCCATGCTTGCCTATCCTATGCATATTATCACACATTGATTTGCCAGGAGGATAAGGCAAACTGACTCCCCACGGAGAGGACAATGGACTATCATCTTTGGGACCCTTCCCAGATCTTTCCCTCTAAGTCTCTCACATTAACTGGTTCTGATTTGTATCCACTTGCTATAGCAAAACTGTAATCATATGTGTAGCACTTTTCTGAGTTCTGTGAGATGTTGATGCGAATTACTGAATCTGAGAGGTTGGTGAGAAACTCCAAATTTGTAGCCAGCTGGTCAGAAGTGCAGGTGGCATGGGAACCCCCTAACTTAAAGCTAGTATCTGAAGTAAGGACAGCCTTGTTGAGGTTGTGCCCTCCACCAGCAAAGTTTGGCCTAAATCTGGGTAGCTGGCGTGAGAAGTCATTAAAGGGCACACAGAAAGGGACACACAATGTGGGCTGTGGTCAGAGCTGAGGAGAGGCGAAGGGAGACTGTCCTTCATGTGTAAGAAGACAGAAGGCAGAGGCTGCAGTGCTTGGAGTTCTTACTGCACTTCAATACGCAAGGTAGAATGTGGCCACAGAGTTCATAAAGAGGCCATGGGTAATGAAAAGAGGTGTAATTGCACCTGTGCACCTGACTTTTCCCACTTTGGACTTCTCTTTCTCAGATGCACATTGGGTTTCTGGCATTTCTTTTTATACAGAGACTAAGATAGATTGAAGTATTGGTCTCATCTGGGAAAAGCAGACTTTACCACTCCTTAATTTTGGTTTCCCTGAGTGATTTTATCTGACCAAAGAAATGTCATAAGAGGTCTGAGGCCTTCTTGCACAGCTGGGCTTGCTCTCTGTGACCTGCAATGGGAACATGCCTAGGTCTGCTCATTCAGCCTGGCCCCAGGATGAAAAATATGGAGCAGACATGAATCAAACACATAGCCTGGACCAAGACCAACTCACCTACATTCTAAAGCAGAATGGCTTAGCTGAGCCCACCTATATGCATGTTGAATGACAATCAACCTATAGACCCACGAGTGGGTGTTGCAAGCCTAAGACTTTTGAGGGTAGTTTGTTAAGCAGCATATGTGACAATAACTGATTGATTCGGAGCCCTTATATAAAGAATATTTTAACTTTTTCCAAATTAGAAACGCCTAATACTTTCTGACAAGGATTCTGTACACCTGACTATAGATAAATTTAAAAATAATGACTACCATTTTAGGACTCCTACCAGGTTCCAGAGACCAGGTTAGTGTTTTGTACATGTTATCTTTACTAGTATTTCCTCAAAAAGCAATACAAAATAGGTATTTTATCTCCTAGTTTGTAGGTGAAGAAACTGAGGTTCAGAGAAGTAGAGTCCTTTGTTTAAATACCCACAGTGTATGAATGATGTAAACTCAGCGTTTTTTGCTCTACAGCATAATGCAGTGGTGTGGGTCTCATGAATTAAAAACGATAAAACGGATCCATGAAATACAAGCTTGGATAGCAGTATTGTTTCTCAGCAGCCAGAAAAGCTTCCTTGAATTGTCCAGGTTTCCTTAAAATGATGATGATGATGATGATATATGCTATCAGAGTGCATGCAGAGGAATGATATATTTTATTCAGAATTAATCATTACCTTCTCTGAGTTTCCACAACATATTGCTCATATTGCCACTAAGGTGAAGGTGTCTTGCATTAAATTGAGTTGTTTACACATACACTCAGCAGACTATGAGCTCCCTGAGGGGGCACAACCTGTCTCATGCCACTTTTTGACCTTACGGAACCTAGCACAGGGCCTGCTGTATGGGAGAACTTAGCAGTTTTCATTCCTATTCTCAAGGTACAGATCTTAGTTGTTCAGCATCATTTGGATATAATGTAGGTATGCTCCTCTCTCTTTTTTTAAAGTATATATTTTTATTGATTTCAGAGAGGAAGGGAGAAGGAGAGAGATAGAAACATCAATAATGAGAGAGAATCACTGATCAAGAAAATAGAGATTCAAAGGAGTCACCATTTAGGGTCATTTGCAAGGTGAATGAATAGAAGTCAGATGAAAACAGTAAGAAAAGAAAGAAGAATAAAGAGACAAGTTGGTCTCTTGGAAATTAAGAAAGCAGCCTTGGGTGTTCTGGCCCTCCTCGGGGCCAGGTGCTTCTGAATTTCTGTTCTCAGATTTTTTAGAATTATATTCCTCTATTTTCTTGATCTAATTTGAGTGTATCTTATTGAAGAGAACAAAGGTGTAGCAAGGACAAATTCCTTTCAATAGGACTTCTAGGCCTATTAGAGTCAAATTGGACTTCAAGGCATATATTATTTTAATTGACTTCCCTGACTTCATCTTACTTTTCTGCTGGATTTTCCCTTTAATATACACAGGTGGGCAAAAGTAGGACTACAGTTATTTGTATGCAAAAAGGCATGCAGATTATGATTATTACAATAGCTTTATTAACTAAAAAGACTGTCACAATTCAACTGTAAATCTGCTTTTGTCTACTCCTGTATTATATCTTGTTTTATTAGGCGCCTTTGTGTGTTGATTCAGAATCTTGTGGAACCAAAGCAGGTGTGTATAGATAAGTAAGCATATAAATAAATTAAATGTGTGATAGTATTGTCTTTTGTCTCATACTAACTCAAGCTTAAGGTCAAAACCATAACCTGGGAATTTGGACATGTAGGGGTCCTTGGTAAAAGTGATTTTGTGTTGATCATTTAATCGTCGATGACTCTTAACACCTGCAGATGAATGTCCACATTTCTCAGCCTGGTAGTCAAGATTTTGTGATCTGACCCAACTCATCTTTCAAATTTTATCTCTTGATGTTTCTTTTCAAATGTCCTACAGTGTGGTTAAATTGAAAATCTCATGCTCCATATTTGTCTGCTCTCTCTTGCTCATGTTGTTTTGTTCTACTTTGTTCCCTTCCTTTAGTAAAATAATGTTTGAAATCTATCTATCTTTCCTGTTTTGTTATAAATGCTATCTCTTCCATGAAGCCATCCTAAACATCTCTCTCTCTATCCTCCATTACTATCTCCTTCCTAATCTCAGATTATCAGAAGCAATCTCTGCTTTTTCTGAACTTCTTGTTTCCTGGCACTCACTACTTTAGATTTGCATTTCATTCATTCATGTATGTGAATCCCCCACTAAATTCTGAACTTTAGTGATCAGCCTTTTATACAGCAGGCATGTACATGCCTAACACATAGTAGGAGATGGACATATCTAAGAGGATGGTGAGGGGCTTTTCATTTTGTAAAGAAATTAGCCCATTACCATAATTCCATAGTACCTACTAAGTGAGATCCATATTGGTCCTTCAACTGTAAGCATGCAAACATACCCCCGTACACACACAATTACCTATATACAGACTATATCAAAGAAAACTAGAGATTATCAAGAGATTTTTAAAAGGGAATTTTTAGAAGGAGCAAGAACTATGTTTTTCTTTCCTGCATCACCCTAACCCAAAGAAGTGAAGGTCATAAGAACCACCCTAAGAGAAATGGTTTTGAGGTTGAAATATCAGAGGGAAGGGAGAGGGGGCAGCATTGAGAGCAAGCTTTATCGTTTACTAATAGATAGCACAAACAGAAACTATAGGAATTAACCAAATTAGAGGTGTCTTGAGAAGAATCTGCCCAGTGAGGCAGTCATCTGGGGCTAGAGGACCCTGCAATAAAAAAAGGCTTTGTGGTATGTGCCACTAGAAGGCAGTTGCTGAAAGGAATTCTGAGGAGTCAGAAGGAGAGAGCACCACTATGTCAAGCAGAGGTCTAGTCCAGACCAATCCACAGAAACTCTCCGAAGAACCCAAGAACTCACCCATGGGCCCCCTACACATTGCCTGAACTGAAGATGTCTGCCATGTCAGGAGACAACTACAACACTCCCGCTTAAGTAAAAAGTTCTTTGATCTTGTTGCTCTCATATTCCCTGAAACAGATTTTGAATTTAGGTGAATAGAGACCATTGCAAGGAAAGCAGAGACCATGGCCTTCTCACTTACTGCTTGCTCTAAACCATAGGTCAGGCTTGCTATAGGGAAAGCAAAGCTCTGAATTAGATGAAAACTCAAAATGTTAATTTACAATACCTAGGTGTTTTATAACTAAAGATGAGTTCACTTAATAATTGGAATTGACCAGGAAATGATCTGCCTATGGGATAACTGAGCTTATAGGGATGGGAAAGCAATAGTGCCTAAAGGCAGAGGGTAAAAATAAAACAAAAATAGCTGTTTCTTGACTCCATTTCTCAGCTACCCCTTGAGCCCAGCCCATTTACTAAACTAGCTACATGTTTGTTGAATAATATTTGGATAAAGTGCTGCCATTCTGATAGAACATCATGCTTCTGATCTATTACCCTTCTAAGACTTTTTCTCCCACTGGCAACAATGATTCTGCCTTGAGTCATTCCAAGTTTCCCACTGAGCCTATTCTGAGATGAGAGGCTAACTGGCCAACTGGCATGAAAATCAACAGGATATTGCCATGAGAAAAAGTAAAGTATACCCCCTGCCATGGGAGTCAAATTCATAACCAATATCATGAAATTAAATATGTAAGAGCTCAAAATAACTTACTCAAGGTCATCTGGCATTCTGAGGAAAGGCTAAGACTACCACCCAATATTTTGGATTTCTAATCAGTCTACTTGTACACAGTCAAATTCTTTTCAAGGGCTCACCAAATTAGCATCATTGCAAAAGAAGAAAAAGAATATAGAAGCACATGGTGATATTAATTTTGTAACAAGTGCTCATAGTATGTGGGGTATTATATTATTTTACTTCACATGTATTCTTTTATCTGATTCTCACAACCCTATGAAGACATTTTCTATGAGGAGGTTATTTGTTTTATAAATAATTTGCCGAAGTTCCAGAGATAGGGAGCAGTGGAGGATGGCAATGGCCTTCACCTTCATGCTACTGACTGCTAGAATACCTCTTGGAACTTCTTGGTGTTCTTTTTCCTTTATGGCATCACTGACCATATTCATAAGTAACATGTAAATTACTTAAAAATATCCAACACTGCAAAGCAATATTATTAATTCAAAAATATCTTGTCATGTGAATATTAATAACATCCTATATAATAAAAGCCCAGTGACTGAAAGGCAGAATGACCAGAACGACCGGTCGACCAGTCGCTATGACACACACTGACCACCAGGGGGCAGACGCTCAATGCAGGAGCTGCCCCCTGGTGGTCAGTGCGCTACCACAGTGGGAGCATCACTTGGCTGACCGGGATGAGCAGTTGCTCCCGCTGCAAATTCTGGGCCGATGGGCAGGAACCCGGGCTGTGATCATAGCCTCCTCGCCCCAGGCTCCTCCTCCTTCCTCCCTGACACCTCCTCTGGATGCCTGCAGGCCATGCAGCGCTGCTGCTGCTGCTGCCAGGCTCGCAGAGCTGACCCTGAAGACTGGGAGGCGGGTTCGTGGCTACCGTGGGACTGAGGCTTACTCCCCCACCTCTCAGTGCTATTGTCCCTGGGCCCAGTCCCAGCTGGGTTCCCTGAAGAAGCTAGTGCTCCCCTCCACAACAATGCCAGACCAGGGAGCAGCTGCTCAGAGGGTGGGTCCACAGTCGTTCAGCAGACTGGGATGAGTAGCGCTCTCACAGTGGGCCAATCCCTGCAGGCCACACCCCTCACTAGTGCATGAATCCCGTGCACCGGGCCTCTAGTGTAGAAAATATTTCTATGGGCTATGAATAGACATTTCAATCCTAAGAATCAAAATTTATATTACTTACATCTCTGATACTGATAAATTTTGTCATTGTATTGATATAATAAATGACTTCAATATCAGTTTTATGTTTTAAGATTCAACATGAAAGTCACACAGTTATTAATATCCTGCCCTGCCTGATGTCTTACCTGTTATTTTTCAAAACACTTTCATTGTTAAACAAGGGAAAAGAGATGACTGCATCATTCTTTTTCTTTACTCTGTTCAGGCAGTCACCTTTCTCACTTATTGTTATATCGAACCTGAGTTCTTTGATAAGAAATACTGTATCAGTGTCATCTGCAAGGAAGGAAACGAGCAATAGCTGCTGTATTCATACACCTTGCTTTTGAGAGAATTTCATGAGAATAAAATGCTAGCATTTGTTCTCACACATCAAAGACTAAGCAAGAATCTGGTTTCACGTCAACATGAAGCATAGCTGAATAATGGAAAGTAACCTTTGGGCTTTAAGGATTCCCTTTCTAGATTTCCTATACATTTTTCTATGCACAAGGCACAAACCTACAAAGAGCTCAGAATACATTGACAATTTTATGAGGCTAAAACCTATTTGTTTTCAGGATATTTAATGTCATGTCTGAGGACTCTAAGCCTCAATTTTCCCCAAATACGACTTTCAAAAAAATTCATAGGAGATGAGGTTTTTGTAGTTGAGATGCATCTTTTTCTGAAGCTCTTACTTGTGTGAACATGTCTAGAATGTCATGGATAAATACAAATAATATAGTTTATTTACTAAAGAGCTTACTTGTTAAACACACCATCAAGGTAATGGGTATATCTTGCACGATATACTGGTAATTCCCAAAGAGTTGCAGTTGCTGAAAAGGAAAGAAAAGTGGGCATGACTATTGCTTCTGCCATTTTAGCATTTCTAACACTTTTTGAAAATAGTCAAGAGGCAACTGTTACTTTTCTCTCCTCCTTAGGAAGAAAGTGACTTACCTTAGGTTTATACCATCTTATTGGAGAGAATGAAACCAGATCACTGTTTTCCCAGTGTTTTACCTAATTCCATATTAGCAATGGGGGTGTGCCAGTTGGGAAACACCCTCTTACTGGCCACAGTAGTTCTGGCACCTATAGTGTCAGCCTGAATGGTTGAATTTTTAACATAATATATTGAAGCCTAAAAGTTCCCTGGGAATTTCAAACTTAAAATTTAAAATCAAGGCCAAGAAATACTCAACAGGTTTCTCTCCATTTTTATTCGTAGCTTGAGTTTACACCATAGTGTTCTTGGGGGTTCCTTCACTTTCCCAAATTGAACAAGTGCTCCTACCCCAAGTGAGCCCACTGCAAACTTCAGTCTGGTACACCTGCCTTTCTGAGATTTATATAGACACAGAGCTTCCTTTATGTTCACATGTATGGAGTTGAAGTATTTAAATAGGAGTCAACAGTCTCTAGGAACCTGCCTTGCAATATTCCTTCTGCAGCCAGGTAGGTCTCTTTATCTGCTACACAGCTATTGAATGAGCACTAAATTATAATCTGACTCTGACTACTTTACAGACCAGATATATGCAAATGAAAAACATTTCTGGCCTCTTACAGGGTGAAAAGGCCCAGAAGTTTCCAGGTGCAGGTCCTTGGGGGACCTTCTAATTTAGGTCTAGAGCATCAGAGTGGATGGCTTCTGCATGGACTGGGTTCCAACTCTATCCATGAGACTTGGGGACTGAAGTTCTGCTTTCCTATTTTTGAGAGGATGCAAATGGTTCATCAGTGTCCCTCTCATCCTATAATTCTTCTTCTGTCTCCTTTGCCCTTCTCATATCTTTTGCCCTTATTTTCTGCACAGAATGGTAAAATGATATATATGCAGGGTGAGATGAAATAGGGAGGAATTTTTAAAAGCAGTTTCAGTTTTTATTCTAGGAGCAGCTTATATAGAATTACAGAGGGCTTTGGGAAGCAGCCAGCCTTAACTTTCCAGAGGCAGACAAAGGCTTGGCAAAGGACAAGATCTAATTTGTTCTTAGTAATAGAGGAAAAACTTGAATCTAGGCTTCCTGACTCCTAAGCCAGGTCTTGTTTCTATGCACCCAGTTGCCCCTTAGCCCTCTGTGTATGTGATCCTTGCTAGTAGTGGATGCTGGAGTCCTATGGCCCTTTCATTCACCTCTCAGATGTCTCAGAAAAACAGCAGACTAATTCCCTACCTGAAGTGGTTCCTGAACCTGTTGCCTCATTTTACTTTAGAGCAAGTTATGACTGAACTAATGAAGTGTCCTTTCAACCTGAACATATTTCTTCCACAGAGCTAATTAATTCTTAAGTGTTTATTTTTATCATTTAATTTAGAAAGTCATTTTTTAAAGAATTGCTCATCCTTTACTAATGGCACATCTAAATGTGTAATTTCTGGGCAGGTTCAGAAACAAAGTTTGGGCATGGAAGTTTTTCTAGCCTTTGAATCTTTCAAAGTCAAATTCAACAACTTCTCTTTCTTTTGATCTCTTCTTAGTTTTTGCCAAAAATATTCCACAGTTGGTGACTGATCCATTTCCTGCTGAGTTATATTTAGGCTGCTCTGAAGCTTTCTTCATTATCCACGGGAAGAAATAGAGGCTTGAAGAGGTCAAGTGTCTCGAGAAAAACAACACTCCTACAAATCGGAGCCACATCTCTTTATTTCTAGCTCCATGTTTCATGCACAGCTATGCCAAGTTCCCAGTTTATAGACATCTATTTTGAGAATTGTCATTTATTTATAAAACATTAAAGCCTGTGTAGGAGCTGCACCCCATCAAGAATAAACCAGGGATGTAAATGCAATTAGAACTAGAAAAAATTATTTTGGTTCATACCCAAAAGAGCAGTGATGTACCAATAAACTGGATTATTCCGTACATGGTCAAGTATTTAAATACCCCAAAGGATGAAACCAGAGCAGCACGGCCTTCTCTGTTTAAGAAAAAATAAGAATACTGATTATGCATGATACACACCTTCCATTCTCTTTTATATTTCAAAAGGAGTTTAATTTTTAATAGCTATTGACATACATTCACTTAACCACTGATTCACCCTCTCAACTATTTCAACTATTTATTTAATTACTCACTCATTCATTCTCTCCTTTCATCATTACCTCACTCATTAATTTATAAACTCACCTTTATTTAGAGTTTATGAGGTACCAGAATTATGCTAAGAGTCATAGAGGATATCAGTAAATCAGGCTCAGTCTGTATTTTCAACAAGCTTTCAGTGAATTAGGTAGATTAACATGTACATTATAAATACAATACATTATGATACGGTGAAAATGTCAAGCATTGACTTCACGGTGACTCGTGGCACCCGAACAACACTTGCTTCCTGAGGACTGAACTGTGTGTGCCTCAGAGTCCCTTAGAGACAGAGAGCTGAAGTACTGGTGCTCTCACATTTTAGGAAGTGTGGATGGGACTCCAATATTTGAAACAAAATAGGTTTTGTTGGTTTCAATACACCACGACGAACCCAGGGTAATAATATGAGCTGGTGTGAAGATCAAAAGAGATAAAGACGAAGTAAAAATTGCAGCTTAAAAAGTAAATATTCCTCCCCTTAAAAAATTCTGCTTGAGCTATTGCTCCTTTAACTGAGGCTTGGTGGGGTGATGGATTATAACAGGCTGAAGAAGACCAGGTGAGGCAGTAGTGCAATAGGGGTGTGGGAACTTGGGAAACAACCCTTCCTGCAGCCTCCTCTTGTTTAGGCAGAAGCCAATCCACAAGTGAGGTAGCCCACATCCTCTTTGTTTCCAGATCCCAGTGACAGGGACACCTACACTGCTCAGAGACTGTCAACAGAACAGGGACAAGGGAAGGAAAAACCTAAAAGCTAAATAATAACCACCTTGCCTCAGGCAAATGAGAAAGGCCAGGAGGGAGATGGGCCAAGATGCTGTGGGCAGCTATCTTCCTCCAGGCTATGAGGCACCACCATTTGTTTTCAGCACAGTGAGTGGGGCAGAAGACAAGCTGAGAAGGGGCAAGCATGTGATGCCTGGATCATCTTCTGATATAAATTTTGTGATTCCATTCTTTATTTTCTGTAATTGTGTATATTTTTTAAAAAAAAAGATTCAGACTCAAAGGAAAGTGCAAAAAAACATGGCAAGTAAAGAATAAAGGATGTTTGCATGGACCTCCAGAATTACTGCTATTCCTAATCAGCATGAATCTTAAGCAGCTCATTCATTTACTTATGCATTCCACAAACAGTAATGAATGCTCTGATGCATCCAGCGTAGTGTGAGGCACAATGATAAGAAATGAATAAGGTAAAGGACTTGAACTACAACAGTGTTTCAAAAGGAAAAATTGAAAACCCATGGATCTGGACTTATGCATCTAAAACTGTATCTCATGTCCCTCTAGAGCCGTGGTCGGCAAACTGCGGCTCGCGAGCCACATGCGGCTCTTTGGCCCCTTCAGTGTGGCTCTTCCCCAAAATACCACGTGCGGGCGCGCACGTACAGTGCGATTGAAACTTCGTGGCCCATGTGCAGAAGTCGGTATTTTGTGGAAGAGCCACACTGAAGGGGCCAAAGAGCCACATGTGGCTCGCAAGCCGCGGTTTGCTGAGCCGCAGTTTGCCGACCACTGCTCTAGAGGATGTTTGCTCCGGAATAAGCATGCATCAAGGAGAGCGAGGGTACAATGAGCCTAACAGAGCTGAACCACATCTAATTTTTATAAATCTATGAAATATAGAAGCAAAGAGTTTCTACCCTGAAGTCTTACTAAGCCATCTGCCACTAGAGAAATCATGCATCCTGACTTGTAATTTAAAACAGTCTATTGCATTCATAAATGCATCAGGCCACATGCGTAAGAAAGAATACCTGAAGTTCAAATACCACTGCCTTTTGGTGGACCAACCAGGCACCTTGTGCAAGCATCCTGGAGTTTCAACTCCCTACGCAAGGTCTCCGCACCTGGTGCTCCAGCTTCACCTCCACAACTCCCACAGGAGAATCCTCACAGCACAATTGGACTATTGGGGCCCTGCACTCTCCAATTAAAACCCTATTCCTAAATATGGCTCTCCATTCCCCCACCTGGAATCCCCTCCCAGCTCTTTTCTCTTCACAGATATCCTGTCCATCCTTTAAGTTGCAGCTCTCCTGCTGATGCCTTCCCTCTGGCTAGAGCTATCATACTAAACTGCTAGGAAAGTTACTGTATTGTTGGATGTTAATTTATTTAAAACTAATTTATTGGGCACCTCTCACTTATCATGCAGAAGTTCCTCTGTTTTGTGAGGATATCTCCATCTATCTATATTCTTCACTGGGATGTAAGTCCTCCGGGGCAAGGTTTTGTCTCATTCTTAATCCCACATATTTCCAAACACAATATTGAAAAAGAGCTCCAGGAGCTGTGTTGATGATGGAAAGCATGAATGAGGGCAAGGGTCCTGAGCATTCTCGTTTTGTAGTTGCCATGACACGAATGAGTGAGGCACTAGAGGTAGCAAGAAAAAGGCTTGGAGAGAGCCTCCAAAAGCAGTGAAACATGATGCCAGGTTGGCTAGGAGTGAAGAAGAAGAAAGAGTAGAAGGAATTCTGAGCTTCTGAGCCTGGATGAGGGACTCTAAGAACCAAATTGTCCTCAGAAGCAGGGAACCTGGGAGTTAGAAAGAGGAGGCAGGGGAGGTGATGATGTTTGAGACTGTGGAAGGACACAGGTGCAGCAACCCAGTGTCTAGCTGTCTTCCTGACAGGGGCATGGAATTTCTAGCCTGGAGCCTTTAGGTGAGTGATTCCTGCCAGCAGCTGCCTATTCAGATGCACCAAGGGACACGGCAGAGAACTTCCTGGGGAATATCTCAAGATTTGATGATGTCTTCAAGGCTATTGATCTGAAAGTTACTTAAAGTTACCCCGCAACAGAAGAATAAGACTTATGTACAAATATAGAACCTATTGTATTATTCTTAACTACATTTAAAATATGAGTAAAGACATCGGAAATGAACAGAGGCAAGGGAAAAGAAACCATTTTTCATTCCTTCCCCTCCCTAACTATTGCCAATCAATTGTAAAAGTATTTTATGAAATCATTTTGGATGTTCACTAATTTTTTGGGGGGGACATAACACTATTTGGGGAAGCTATCTGATGGAATGTTCCCTTTCTGCTTCCTCACCCTGTCAACTGCTGAGAGAAAGGTCCAGTAAGCTCCCAATGTACAACATAAAGGAAAGGAGAAATAAGAAAAGCAATTACTTTTTAAATACCAACTCTAGCTTTCAGCTCTCCACATGACACAGCCATTTATCCTTTAAGGCTCAGCCAAAGTCACCTTTTTGTGGCTTTTACCAGCATTCTCAAGCAGCACTAACGGCTCCCTTGCTTGGTGCTCCAATAGCACTTTCCCCATATGTCTCTTGTGACAATTATCACTAAGTTATAGTTGAATTCTGCCTAGAGCCAGACTCTGAGCCCATCAGTCATGGGGGTTCAAAAGGAAGAAGTGGCTTACTTGATGAGATGAGGCACACACTCGATGTTGGCTGTTTTTGAGGTGAAAGGTGAGGCTACAGATGCCTCCTGCTCTGACAAGGAAATACCCGCATGAGCCATTTTCAAAGCCTGGAATGACAAATCCGTGTTACACCCATGACTCCTCAGGCCAGGCTTTAACCACTTAAACACCATGAGGCTATTCTTAACATTATAGAGTTTATAACTTTGCACCCTTCCACCCCTAGATTTCTGATTATGTTGTCCCTTCCCCTGGGATATCCTTTCTCCCCTGATCTACTAACTCACCAACTAAAGAGATGCCAATTAAACAATGATTCAGAGGAAGAAGAATGGAGTGTGTGTGTGTGTGTGTGTGTGTGTGTGTGTGTGTGTCTCTGTATTGGTTGTGGAATATAGACATCCTATATAATAAAAGGCTAATATGCAAATTTTCCCCTTGACCAGGAGTTTGACTGGGAGTTCAACTGGGACTTCGACCAGGGGGTGGGGCGTGCCGGCCAACTGCCCATGCCAGCCCGGCCCAATTGGCCTTGATTGGGGCAGGTTGGCCGGACCCATCCATGCACGAATTTGTGCACCGGGCCCCTAGTAATAAGTAAATAGGAGTAGTCATTCAATAAATCTATTTAAAAAATGACAGCATTTGGATAGACATTTATTATCACAGTTCTTACACTTAACAGGTCATCTTGATGATCAATAGGAAAATAAATCCAAACACCACCATTCCCTAGGCTTCCTGACCCAGCCAACCAGCTAACTGCTGGAATAAAATATGGGGCATACAGCATCTTCCCTGGACACAGGAACTAGATCACACTCATCAATGACTCATACCAGTACATGTGTTGCCTCATTGAAATGAAGACTAATTCATTTCTCATCAAGACTGAAAACTGTTCACAGAAACAGACTCAGAGACACAGAGAAAAAACTGATGGTTGCCAAGATGGGAGGAGGGCTGGAGAGCTAGGTGAAAAAGGTAAAGGGATTAAGATGTACAAATTGGTAGCTACAAAATAGTCATGGGGATGTAAAGTACAGCATAGAGAATATAATCAATAATATTGCAATAACTAGGTATGGTGTCATATAGGTACTAGAATTATTAGAATTATTAGGGGGATCACTTAGTAAATTATATAAATGTCTAATCACTGGGTTGTGCACCTGAAACTAACCTGAAAATAATATTGAATGCCAACTCAGTTTTAAAAATAAGAAAAGAAATATTGTATTTCTAAGAGTAATTATAAACATATCAAATGAAAATACTTAAAAAAAAAAGACTGAGCCCTGGCCAGGTGGCTCAGTTGATTGGAGTGTCCTCTCATACAACAAAAAGTTTGGTTCCTGGTCAAGGCACTTAACTAGGATGTGGGTTCAATCTCTGGTCAGGGAACATGGAGGAGCCAACTGGTCAATGTTTCTCTCGTCAATGTTTATTTCTCTCTCTCTCCCTTCCCTTCTCTCTAAAAATCAATAAACATATCCTTGGGTGAGGATAATAATAGTAACAATAATAATTTTTAGAAGACTAGAACTTTTCAGAAAGTGCACAGAGCAGTGACCAATAAGGAGGCCAAAAAGCCCTTGATCCTACAAGAATGTGTGGGCATAAAGTAAGATTGTGTATTTCTGCTGCCTCGTAGAACTACAAAGTACCTGGATACTATAACCGGTACATACTAAATTCATGGTCAACAAATATTAAAATATTTCCTTCTTCCTCTCTGCTCTCTTAGTATTTTGCATCTCTATCAAATAATTTAGTACCATCTCCTTTATGTTAGGGTTATTTTTATGCATGATTCTTTCCCCCACCAGACAATGAACTCTTTAGGGGCAGACGCTATATCCCTTTTAGCACTTGATTTCTTTGTTTTGTTCTAAACTCCCCATAATTAATGAGACTAGGCACTCATTTTAAATTTTGAGGAGTGGATTAAATACTAGTTTCTCATGAAATATAAGGCAGGAAAATTCATAATAGTTCTCTAATTATGAACATGGTTTTACACAGAACTTTGAAGAAAATACTTAAGAGAGAAGTAAAAGAAATACCCAGATCTTAAGTATCTAATAGGCTTTGAAAATACAAAGCAATCCTCTTCATTTCTTGTCCCACACATTAGCTACTAAAATATTTTCTTGTGTGCATAAGTCTTCAAAGTAGAGTATTACTTCAACCATATCTTTAAAACTAATATTATAAAACATGTACTGCCTTCTATTGTGTATAAGAAGTAATCTGCTGAGAATCATTAAATTTAGGTTTTGTTATTGTGTGTAACAACTAAATAGTTTGTTCTGAAAACACACAGAAATTGTTAAATATTTTGCTTATCTTGGTTCAGTCATCAATTTATATGAAGACTGAAGCCATTAAATCAAGAGAAGGATGAGACTTGGATGGGCTGCAACAGAAGAATTGGGAAAGATTACTAAGAGCAAAGATGTGTTATTGGAGACCAAGGTTAAGATCATCCATATCCTCATATGCCCAGTTACCATGTTCAGATACAAAAGTTGGGCAGTGAACAGGGCTGATAAGAAAAAAGTGGATTCATTTGAAATATGGGGTTGGAGGAGAGCTCTACAGATACCCTGGACTGCCTGAGAGATGAACAAATGGAGCACATTAAGCCTGAAACATTGCTGAAGGCAAATATGACAAAACCGAAGCTGTCCCATTTCAGGCACATCGTGAGAAGGCAAGGCTCTTTGGAAAAGACAATAATGTTGGGGAAAATAGAAAGCAGCAGGGAGAGAGGAAGACAAATATGAGATGGATTGACCCCATAAGAACAGCCCTAAGCATGACTGCACAGGAGCTGAGCAGGGCTACCGAGGACAGGACATTATAGACATCACATATTCATAGGGTCACCCAGAGTCAGAGCTGACTCAACAGCAGGAAACACACACGATTTCATTGAGTGTAAAAATTTGGAGGTAAAGTCAACTTTGAAAAATTAACCCTGAAATAGAAGTTTGGCAGAGAGGATGAGGATGAGAGCAGCAGGATGAGAAAAGAGCAGCAGGATGAGAAAATAATGCAATTTGCACATAATTCAAAATCTTTAATCATTAGTTTCAAACTTTTCCTCCACTGAGGATTTACCAACTGTGTGACTTCGGGTAAAAAAAGAATTCACTTCCCTGGACTCATTTTCTTATTGATAACATGAGAGATTTAAAACAGCTAGTCTTGTAATGTCCCTCTCAGTCTTAAATCGGGAAATCACAAATAATCAAGTGATTGTGGCAGAAGGGTGAAGAGACAGACCCCAGGGGACTGTGTGGTTTTAAGGGGGGTATTAGTAAACTGCCTGCATTAGCATAAGTAGTTTATACTCACCCCACAGTCATTGGCTCCATCTCCACACATGCCCACATAATAACTGCAGGGGAAAGTAAGAAAAATTAATAACAATGCTTCACTTGAATAATTTCTATCAGAGGTAACTCAAATGTGATGTGTGTCTGTTAGAGATAGAGGAAGAGAGAGAAAGTCCTGAAGACATGTGGAATCAGGCTTCAGGAAAATAAGAAAAATAGTTCCAGAGGAATGAGGCTATTGTATTAATTAAATTGTTTCCATCAACCATATGGAAGTGGTAGTGATATTGCAGGGATGTCTACAAAGATCATCACATACTTCAAAAGAAGCCCTGCTTTATTATAATCACCAAGGTGAAGTTTAAGGGTGCATAGTCATAATCATAGCACTTGCCACAGAACTTCATGCATAGGTCATGACCTAATCCATCCATGTTTTGGTTGCTAACTGCTGCTGAGAGTTTGGAGTGAGAGCAGCAGGATGAGAAACATTTGGGAAATAGTTTAACAGATATAACTGGAGCTAGATACACATACTCTTGAAGCATCTTGGAGTGAAAATGAAATAATATGCTCCCATTATACCACCTTGGTGTGCAAACACAATGATATAAAATAAAAGAGTAAATATTAAAGCTGTTGCTAAAGAAAAAGGAATTTCTGATTCAAGACATACTCTGTCTTCTATTATAAATAAACTAGAGACTTGGTGCACGAATTCCTGCACCAGTGGGGTCTCTCGGCCTGGCCTGCAGGATAGGGCTGAAACTGGCTCTATGATGCACACTGACCACCAGGGGGCAGACGCTCAACACAGGAGCTGCTGTGATGCACACTTGCCATTTACAGAGAAACAGCAGTGCAGACCTGGCCAACAAAGCAACACTTGGCTTCCCCCAAGTGGGACACAGGCCCCGCCACCACCCCAGAGCAACAGCCCACCAAATTGCAGCTACCGCTGCCAAGACCCCATGGCCAGCCTGTAAACAGGTCACTGTGGGCTCCAGGTAATGACTTCATCTAACAAAACCTGGCTTCTTCTCCCTATTGACTAGCCTCCCTGGAATTTCTTCAGCCCAGGAACACGACTTGCTTTATAGCCAGGTGGAAACATCTTACACTTTAACCAAATGTCTATGAAGCATTTTCCTGTGCCTCATTTCATTTGATCCTCACCGAAGTCCTGGAGTAGGTACATAGGAGAGTTGGCAGAATTCTATTTTATTTTCATTAGCCAGAAAACAGAGATTTAGAAAGCTTAGAAACTTGACCTGACTGAAAAGAAGTAAGAAATGGTGGACCTTGAAAATGACTTCAGGTTTTCTCACTGTGCAGAATATAGTCAAACACTGCTGCAGTTAAATATTTTGCCCTTTGTTCTCCCTGTGTGATCTACAATAATAATCTCCTTCGTGTTAATATTTACTGCTGTGTTGCTGACAATTACCTGAAAGAGAAATTGGGATGCTTCACTGGGCTGGAAAAAGTTTAGCTAAGTCAGAAAGCAGGTCTAATTAAGCAAGTTTATTCTATATCTATAAAAGGCAAGTTGACTTTCGCATGTGCGATACATATAAAGCTCTTGCTGGCATCAATTGCATGCGTGTGTTTCTATCTGTCATTGTCGATTGTGAATTTGGTTGACACTTCTATGATAGAGAAAGGGCGAATAGCAATATTAAAAGATTTCTTCGCATTAATTTCCTTTCAATGTGCACGAATTCGAGCATTGGGCCACTAGTATTATATAATGGCCATGTAAGTGAAATAATCATTTTAGACACTGGTTACTAACCCAGACTCAAGGCATTATGGGAGCTAATGAGCAGTTTTTGAAACTCCCCCAAGAATGTGGGCAACAAAAAATAATAGTAAAAGGCAGTCTCCTGATTTTACTATTAAAATATTTAAATATTTTAATAATATTAAATTTAATATTTTAATATTAAGTATTTTAATATTAAGTATTTTAATATTAAAATATTTAAACTATTTAAATATTTATCAGTATTTATTTAAAGTTTCACTATTCTCTATTCCTTTTCACTTTTCAGAAATCCATAGCCCAGAAATTGTAACATTCCCAGGAAGTAATAGTTAGGTTTGGACTCAAGAAGAACCATTTCATTCTGATGTGACATGGTCATCCTTATTTTTAATAAATAAGAAAGGACTTTCTTTTCTTTTTTCTTTTGGCCTCTACACCCACTCCCTGCCAGGGCCAGATACAGTGAGGAGAATATCTTTCACCTCTTTCAAGGAATATCTGAAATCATTCATGTATCTTCTAATGAACCCACCTCAAATAATTCCAGGTGAGAACTCATATACTTCCTCATTTTTTTCCCAATATGAGCTATATAGAAGCCCTTCCTTTTGTATTCTCTATATCCAAGCAGGTAATCTTCCTCTAAGATATGCCTTGTGGGCCACAGAACAAATGTTCTCTGAGACAGCGAGCTTCTGAAATGTCCCTCAGGGATCCCCACCTCCTGGTACTTGGGGTATTGGGTAATGCTCTTCCTTGAGTGTGGCTAGACCTAGTGAGTTGCTTCAAATGAAGGGAATATAGTGAAAATTATGGGATGTCATTTCTGAGATAGAGATATAAAAAATGTTGATCTCTCTCTCTCTCTCTCTCTCTCTTTCTTCTTCCTTGCTCACTCTTATGGAAGTCAGTGGCCACATTGTGAGCTTCCTTGTAAAATGATTAATGTAGCAAGGAACTGAGGGTGGCATTTGTCCAACAGCCAATGAAAACAGAGACTCAGCCCAACCAGCCTCAAGGAACTGAATCCTACCAACAACATGTGAGTTAGGCTGGTGGCAGATCCTTCTCCCTTAAGTGCTGAAATGTCTGCAGTTCTGATGGTCACCTGATTAGAGCCTTGTGAGAGACCTGGAGCCAGACAGAGCATCATCTAAGCACACGTGGATGCCTGATCCACAGAACTTCAAAATAATAAATAGCATCATTCTAAGTTTTGGTGTAATTTGTTACACAGTAGATAATGAATACACTATCCTTTCATGCAATAACACCTACTTTAATTTCTGAAATTCTTCAACAAGGCTTGATTTTTGCCCAGGAGACATTCTTGCAAAAATGGTTCCATTCACCAGAATCTAAAGAGAAAAACAACTTTTGCAGTAAGCTTAGAAAGAAGAACACTTCCACATAAAAGGACAGCCCTGAAAAATCATTTCTGGCCACTGTTTGAATATAGCATTGGGTCGTGGTCATTAGACTAAATGTCAGGAAAGGGAATAAGGGGATTTAATGCTTTAATATGTAACTTTCATTCTCAGTCCTCCATCACAACTCTATTAATTCTTTCCAGGCCATTTTTCCCAGATGGGTTAACCTCTAATTAATAATAATAACTAAGAAGCAGCAGAGCATATGGGATAAGAGTGCTTAAGGAAATACAGGGTCTTTGTGTGTTTTTTCTGAACTCTGTCTCCACACTTGTAGCATAGACAGAGAAAGGAGCAATAAATCTAGAGTTGAGAAATAAGCTTCTATTCTCAGCTCTGTCCCAATTAGCTGCACAAACCATCAACAAGCAACTTAACCTCTCTGAGTCTCAGCTTTCCCATTTCCACAATGAGGAATTGGACTGAGAGCTTTCTGGAGGCCTTTGGGGACTAGATTCTATGGTCCTGGACTGGGAAGATGACAGAATTTCAAGACATGGAGAACAGATGGCTGCTGCCCTGGGCTTGTGTGCCACTTATCTCCTTCACACTGACAGCACAGCCCTGCACAGCACTATTTTAAAATAGACACACACACAGGACAAGATAACAAATGATTTTGAAAATAAACCATGGGCTTGTGTTTTCTTCTGTTGTAATCCAAGAATCCAGACAGGAAGAGGAATAGAGCTCATCATGACATGAGTTGGTAGCTTTCAGAGAGAAGCTGACCCACAAAATAGGAATGTGTCTGGAACTATCCAGAGGGTCTCCTTGCTGGGGAAGGAGAGAGGAGGGAAGCTGGGATTGGACTGGCCACGGGGCGACAGGCTATACCAGAACTCAAAACACCAAGAGGAGGTCATGAGCATGTGCAGGACTGGGTGGATGTGGGCAGGGCCAGGAAACTTCGGTGCCCCTTTGGGGACCTTTATTCTCTAGCCCTGAGACAATCTCAGTGATGTCACCTTCACTACTCTATTCCCCTTTTATGCCTCACTAATTTGAGGAGGAAAACAAAACACTTCATTTTTCCAGTACTCACTTTTGGAAGCAAGCTGTTGAAATGCTGAAATAGCACTTGGTATGATTTCCCACTCATTGCAAAGTGATAACAGTTCCCTTGTTCTTCAGGAAGCACTGAACTGTTTCCAATGTTAATGTAGGTTTCCTAAAATCAAAAGGCATCATTTCCATGTGAGCTCTTAAAGGATCCCTCTGTTTTCCTATGTTTTCTGGAAGGAAGTATATTCATGTTTCATAACCATGTGAGGCTTGGCAAACACTTAATGTATAATTTGCCCACGGAACTTATACTTCTATGGTGAAAACCCTCAGAATGTCTCCCAAAATAATATATGAACATGAAATACTTTGACAACATGATGCTCTGGATCCTATCCTGGGAGATAATATGTGTGATGTCATTTTACCTAGGAAATCATTCTGAGGTACTAGTCAGTGATTCCAAGAAGAACAGGAAGATTCTTCTCTCCTCTTCCTTCTTCCCATCTTGCAACCTTTTATTTCTTTAGATAACTTATGATTCACTCCTTCAAAAATAATTTTACACTCTACACTGTAAAATTCTTCTTTTAGCTCCTGACCTCTCCCCACCAAGGAAGGTGCCCGGATCTTCCACACCGGATGTTCCACTGCAAAAGCACTACTCCTTTTCTGAAAGCCTTTCCCCCTGTCTTTCACCTGTCAATGTCCCCCACCCCGCACTGTGTTCCAGTCCCACAAGAGAGCATCTGATGAATGCACATGCACACCTCATGCCAATAGGTGATAATGGTTTTTCATGTGACATTTCTCAGAGGGCCTTACATTTACGTAGGTCTCTAACATTCAAATAGTATAAAAGGTGAGAAAATTCTATTCATTAGAGGTATCTATCTTAGGGAAGGCATTGTACTTGGAAGAAAAAACATTTGATGTGCCAAATTGGAAGGCAAAGTGCATCCTCTTACAACCCCCATTGTGAACCAGCCAACAGAAAGCCATGCTCTGAAGCATACCGCTCGAGGCAAGGACAGGACTCCTTCTGCTTTTACTAGATTGTGGGGAGAGAAAGTGTGGTGATGGGGAGCCAGGGAGAGGAGGAAAACCCGAGGCTGTGATGTGACTTCTTCCAGCAATGACCAAAACAAATGGGTAGCGTGAGTGGACTGTTTGTTAAAAATTAGTGAGGACCTGAGTATCGTCACACAGTGAAACTGAGGCAATATAAATTGATGTAGAACTCTGCTGGAAGCATAGAGGAAGCTGTCATCTTCCACAGCCCATGCAATGGGGTCATCTTCACACAGCAGGGGCAGGACCACTCTGTACAGTGGTGCAATTTGTCTACCGAACAAGGGCCTTCTCTACGCTTAACAATCCAAAAGGCTGGTCAGCCTAGAAGAAGAGAGCATCCTTGTAATTTATCACCTTGGGGCTGAATTTACACAAAGAAAGGTGGTGCATTTAGTGATGGGATGGCAGGCTGCAACCATTTCCTTCACATGAAAAAGCTGTTCTGTCGCAGGTACACAGGGACCTTACTCTCGAGAGAAGCCAACACCTGCCACCTACATGTCACAGGTACAGAACAACCTAAATGCCCATGATTTGGGTGGAATCAAACAGACCCAAATTTGATATGCTGCTCTGAAACTTGCTACTTGTATGTCTTGGACAAGCTTACCTCCCTAGGCCTCAGTTTTCTCTGTTGTAAAATGAATAGTTTACTCAATTGTAGGGTAACTGTGAGTATTCAATGGGAATTATGGGTGTAAATCAGTGATTCTCAACCATGACTGAACATTGGAAACACCAGAAGGAAGGGCTGATGCCAGCTCCCAGGCCAGAGGTTCTGATTTAATCAGTAGAGCCTTGGCACTGGCCGCTTAATCATCCTCCAGGTTATGTCTACATCTAGCTGGTGCTGAGAAGTGCTGGTGGAAATGCTAAATGCTTTGCAAACTGTAAAGCTCTGGACAGATGTGAGGATTATTACTGTGGTAACTTGTGATGCCAAGAGAAGGCTGCCCAGGGCCAGCACTGTATCTATCAGCTCAGGCCACGGAGGGGCCTTTTAACATTTGCTCACATTCTTCCCAGGTCCATTCTCTTGGTTTTCAACCAGCTGCCAGGTCACAGAAGCAGGAACAAACTCTTCTGGTTCATTGGCCTCAACGAGGATCACTTGGTTCCCTTGAGGAATCATTTCGGAGTTTTTTGCAACAGTAATGGCTGTTTGCAGATTGTCACCTAGATGACAAAGAAAGTCAATTTGCTTTATGTATAAACCTCACAGCAATCAGAATTGAGCTCCTCCTCTCCTGAGTATCCATACTACTTTGTTGGTGTTCTTTGTCAGCATTTATTGCTTTCCGCCTTATTTTATCATCATTTATCTTCCACTCTGCCTCAGTCTGTCTGCCCCTAGTGGTCAACTTCTGTCTGCATTTCCTTCCCACCATAGTTAACATTCTGGTATCCTGAATGTTGCATATTTCCAAAAAATGCACAATGAATAAATAAGTGGTGGTCAATTTATGACTAATCCCAGGAGACTGACAGCTCTTAGAGGTGGGGTAACATGGTCCAATCTGATAGCATAAAACCATCCTTGGGATCTGGATTCCAGTTAAGCAGAGAAAAGAACACTTAGCGCTGGGCCATGCTTCAATTTGATCATCAGGTGCCACGCCTATCACCACTGCCTTAAAGGACAGTCCAGCCGAGTCTCACACCCTTTACAAGGTGGTCTATTGGGGTTATTGATGAAAACACATTCTTGTGTTTAAGCATTTACTGTGAATCCCTTAGCAGTACACTGATTTTGGGTAGAAAGAGTAGGCATTAGACGAAGAAAAGAAGATATAGTAATTGCCTCCAAAACTCACGGTGGTGTTGGGGGAGCTACACATGTTTTCAGGTAACTGTACTACGGGGTGACAAACTTGACAGCAAAGCATCTTTCTTTCTGCCTCAGTCATATGAACTCAGCTCACACAGTATTTTTCTTATGCCCAGAAGACATTCAGCTTATCAGGCCTCCAGACACACATACCGGTAATCATCACAGTCCTGATGCAGGCCTCTCTCAGTTCCTTCAAGACGGGTTTGGTTTCCTTTTTCAAGCGATTCGCCATTATAAGAAGTCCCAGAAATGTTAACTCTGACTCCACCTTCTCTCTATGGATTCAGGAGAAAGTGAATATTAAGGCTTATTTATATAGCCTCAAGAGTTGGATTTATTTCTTGTTTTTAAAATTTCTAAGTTTTATCAATGTACTACATGCTCATCTATATATATATATAAAAGGCTAATATGCAGAGTGTCCCCACGGGAGTTCGACTGGTAGACTGGGAGTTCAATCGCTTGCTATGATGTGCGCTGACCACCAGGGGGTGGCACAGAACAAAGGCAGGCCCCAGCCAGCAGCCAGCAGCTGAGGAAGGAAGGTCCCAGCTGGCAGCCAGAAGACCCCGATCAACCCTGATCGCTGGCCAGGCCTAGAGACCCTACCCATGCACAAATTTCGTGCACCAGGCTTCTAGTGTTTAATAATTCAAAAAGAACCCAAAAAACTTATAATGAAAACCAAAAGACCATGTTTTCACACTGCCCTTCTACTTCTCAGAGGCAGCAACCACTTTTATATATTATAGCTGCCTTTAGTTTTCAACTCCATTTTTTAAAATAATGTGATTATCTTCCAACTCTTCTGGGTTTTAAACATATTGTTAATCATTTATATTTTTCATTTCCAAGACCTTTTTTTGAACTTAAAGTAATTTCAATTTATTACACATGTGTTAAGACATACTGCATACAGGATACTATAGTAATAGTTGCTATTATTCATTTCAACTTCTATTTGTTACCTGATACATGATATTAGCCAAGGATTTGAATAGTTTTCAGAATTTGAAATTGGAGGCTTGAAAATATAATTCAAAGTTGGATAAGAACACTTCTATCTGGAGTAGAATTTAAGTTGTTATATCCTTCCTTCAAAAGTCCATTCACTAAATGACTATTTGATTTTAGAGCTTGTATTAGGCACTTTGGTGAATACTCAGATAAACAAATATAAATCCTGTCTTAGTGATCTCAGAAAATATTATAAAAGAAAAGGTACCTTAATATAGAACTTGTTGAAGTCCCATCATTTAACTTCATGAATTTCCATTATAAATTGGATTACTACTTTCTCATTAACTACAACTAAAAGGAAGATCCAAAAATTTTCTCACTGATTAATTCTGGTTTTCATCCCTACTTTATATCTCTTCTCCTTGTTCACCATTTCAGGCACTCTGGACTTTTGTGACTCTATAACATTTCTAGCAAAGTCCTGTATAAGGACCCTTGTGTCCACTATTTCTGTTGCCTGCAAAGCTTTTCCTCTGGATAGCTGTATGCCTTGCTCCCTCACTTTACTCAAATCTCTGTCCAAAGCTTGCCTCCTCAGAGGACTTCCTTGATTACCCCATGGGAAAGGGTGTCCCCTGTCATTTTTAAAAAATACTCTCAACCTGCTTTATTTTTCCCTTCTGTGCATTTTTTACTACTTGACAATATTGTATAGGTCTATTTTGTATACATATATATTATCTATCTATCTGTCTATAGACATATATTTTTTATATTTTTATATTGCTTATGTATATTTTATTATCTATTTTCCCCAATTAGGATTTAAGCTCATGAGGGCAAGGATTTTATTCTATTCACTTCTGAATCCTCAGTGCCTCAAAGAGCATTTCACACAGTCAAGCTCAATAGAACATTGCTAAACCAATAAAAGGGGACATCTTGATCAAATATTTTTCTGTTTTATAGCTTGTGTTTTCTTTTCTAAGTCATCTCATAAAACTCTTCTATTTCCTTTTCTGATGGCAGTTTTTTTAAGAAGTTTTTTATTTTCTAATTGGAAAACTTAACTAAATATGATTTGATTCTAAAAAATATCAAAAACCCTATCCCTTTATCCTCTTTGAAAATAGTAACTAAATTCCAAGAAGCATACTAGACTCCTGAAATTCTCTTAGAAATCTGAGATGGCTAGAAATCTAGCACATTTTATCCTTATTTTTTTATTTTGGTATGTTTAGAATAAAGTCTATCTCAGTAGCAGCTCTTAAATAAGAACATCACAGCTGTCTTTGTCTGTGGCAGCTGGGTGGTGGCTGCATTCCATGTCAAGCTACATAAATCTTCCTTTCACACGTGATCTTAATGTTCGTTATTAAAATTTGTGTCTTGAAAAATTATACAATCCTGTGTGTGATGGGTCTTTATGCTTGCTCAAGAATAACTAACACCTTGAATGTTAAACCTGAGAGTGCCATTCAGACATTGCAAAATGAGCTTTGTGGTTCTATTTAGAAGATTAAAATGTCATGGCTGAAAGGCTCCTTAGGGACCATACAATCCTGCATTTTACAGATAGGAGAAGTTGACACTGTAAGAAAGGGGCAATGATTACTGATTACATTACAGTAGATAGACTTACGTTGTAAATACTAATGTTGAACCAAGAATATTCGTATCTTTTGTAGGGGAGCTAATTTTACATAAAAGTATATATCAGCCACACAAAACCAAAGATAAGTGATACATAGATGATTCATTATTCAACTTTTCACAGTATTTCTCTACTTCTTTGTCATAGGAAATTCAAAAACAGCCTTTAAAAATTGAGAAACATTTAAAAAGATCTTCAGATTATCCTCTAATGAGGACAATTCATCCCTGTAATGTAATTAAGGATACTGAATTATATTTCATACTAGGGTCCCTTGGCCTGGCGGGCAATCGGGCCGATGGGGGGGGGGGGGTAGGGAGGACTGCGGGAGGTTGACTGTGGGACTGCACTGACCACCAGGGGGCAGCTCCTGCATTGAGTGCCTGCCCCCTGGTGGTCACTGCGGCATCATAGTGACCAGTCGACCCGTTGTTTGGTCGACCGGTTGTAAAGGTCACTTAGGCTTTTATATATATAGACTAGAGGCCCGGTGCATGAAATTCGTGCACTGGGGGTGGGGTTCCCTCAGCCCAGCTTGCCCCTCTCACAGTCCGGGAGCCCTCAGTGGATGTCCTACTGACAGCCACAGTCTGGCAGCAGAGGCTCGGAGCAGGCATCGTGTGTGTGTGTGTGTGTGTGTGTGTGTGTGTGTGTGTGTGTCTGCTGGGGGCCTGCCCCAAAGCCACACCATGGAGGCTTGGAGCAGGCACCCCTCTGTGTTGATCTCTCAGGCTCCTGGCCTCCACTGAGTGTTTTTCTCTCCCTTGAGCTGTGGCCAAGGTGGGGTGTTGCCTGCAGGTTGCACTTTCCTGCTCATGGATCACCGGATCACTGCAGAGACCGGGGGTAGGCCCTGCTGGGTGCTGCCTGTGGGGAAGTTTTCTGCTTTGGGATCCCAGGAGCAGGCCCACCTGGGGGCCACCCGCCCTCAGCACTTGCCTGCTCTGGGATCACCATGGGGTCCCAGCTGGCAGCAGAGCTTAGGCGGCACACAGGGGTCCCGGCTGGGGTCAGGGCTCAAGCGGTGTGGGGCTTAGGCCGGCACACGGGGGTCCCGGCTGGGGCGGGGCTTAGGTGACGCGATCACACCGCCGAAGCCCGGCCGCCCAGTAATGCACACAGGGCCCGGATGGCATCTGGCACTGGCCAGCCCTGCCTGCAGTATGCAAATTAGCCGCCATCTTTGATGGCGGTTAATTTGCATATGGTGCTGATTAGCCAATGGGAAGCGTAGCGAAGGTATGGTCAATTACCCTTTTTGTCTTTTATTAGATAGGATAAGAAATGCAGTTTGCATTCACTACCTCTTCAGATCTGAGGCTGGTATATTATTGGGTCCTGAAAGAACCTAAGTCTAAAGGATTCTGGAGGACTTTCAAGGTGCCAACTGTCTCTTTCCCTCAACTCTTTTGTATGTAGTCTTCCCAAATAGTGTTGGTCATTTTTGGTGGGATGATGGAATTCAGGGCAGAGAGAATTTGCTACTAGCATCTGGGAGTCAGGACATCTCAACCCCCAACCATGTTCTGCCACTAACCAGCATTGTGATCTAATCAAGTCCCCCCGGTGTGGCTCACAGTTAGCCATCTCTGAATTAAGGAGCTGAATGAGATTGAGTCTTCATCTCCAAGAACTTTCTTAATGATTTGAGCTATCCATTCATCTCCAGGGGCTCCTTCACTTCATTCACACAGAACTGATTTTTGAGTTTTTTACCTGGATAAACTGTCCACTTCTGAAAGCTTCCCCAGGCTCAAGGTTTTATGGGCAAGGGCAATGACACGGAAGCCTTGCATTGTGTAATTCCTCAGTTCCTGTGGGAAGTTCCTGGGCACTGCCAGGAGAGAAAAGACAGGTAAATGCAAGTTTACATTGAAGGTCACTGAACTCCTAAGCAAGGCTCTGGGATGCAGTTGCTGTACCTTGTTTTAACCTTCACTCCATAAAAATACTTTAATAGAAAAACCACAGCTTCTAGTTAAAGGCCACAAACACTTCATAGTGTGTTCTTATTACTCTGACAGAAACAAATGCCAAAAATGTTCTGGTCATCAACTGAGTGTCAAATACACTGGCTAGATTCAGTATGGACAGACCTCAGGATTGTATCAACCTGGATAAAATGAGAGAAATATCGATTCTCTAAATCAGGGGTCAGTGAACTACAGGCCAAATCTGGCCCATTGTTTGTTTTTGTAAATAAAGTTTTATTGGAACACAGCCACACCCATTAGTTTCATTGTCTATGGCTGCTTTTAGGCTACAATGGCAGGGGTGACCAGTTGAAACAGAAACCATGTGGTAACAAATCCTAAATTATTTAGTACCTGGCTCTTCACAAAAATGTTTGTCGATCCCTACTTTAGATAATGGATGACACAATGCCAACACGTGTGTATTTTGACATGGTAATCATAACTAATGATAGTATATTTATAAAATCTTTATGGTTTATAGTATGCCTGTAAAGGCATTAGGAGGAAGCACAGTATAATGGGCGGTGTAGCAGCTTATGTAGCAAAACACTGACTTCCAGTCTCCACTCTATTACCAACTAGCTCTCTGACCTTGGGCATGTTAAGTCTCTCTTCTGCACCTCCATTTTACAATAGAAAAAAGGATGGGGTTGTAGCTCTCTATGAACCCATTCAGCTCAGACTTTCTGAAGTAATCTTGCAGGTGGGTCTAATTTCAAGGAAGCTCCTACCTCTCTATTTCTTAAGTACAGGAGGGGAAAAAAATCACTTAAGATGATATTAGCATTTGTAAAGGATCAGATTTTAGAACAATAGGAAGAATTGGAAGTGCTACCAGAAGAATAAAAGGTGACAAGTGACACCAAACCTGACAGAGCAGGGTTAATAGCTACTGGTTAAAATGTCAGAGATACTTATATCTGTGTGGCTGAAAAAGTAGAAAGAAAAGTATAGGTCATCAATCTATAAAGGATAGTGTTAATGAGAGCTATGAAGATCAAAGAAAAAGGAGGTACTTCTAAGACACAAAAGACTCCAAGTAGGAGAGAAGTTAAAGCAATCATTTGCCAAATCAAAATTCTGTGCACGAGTTGATGGATATCAGCAATCATAAGGCGAATATAGATGAAAATCAAAAGGAAAAGGCCAATTTATCCAAATGAACTCATTTGAATGCAACAGTATTCTTATAAACCTGGGCTGCTGCTTAGAGGGTGCATATGTTTATAAGACTATGAAACAATACAAATCAGCTCAAAATCTGGCCCAGAAAGATGAAATTATTGTGAAAATGATCTATTACCTTGCTCTAATACCATCTAATTTACTGTAATCACTTTTTTTTCTGCGACTTATCTTTTCTACATTCTCCTTCCATTGATGTCTTTGAGTCTCCTTTGAGTCTCCCAGGAGGTGACAGAACACCCCTTCTGTAGAATTGGTCTAGTGTCCCAGCCTCTCCCTTTGACTCTGTCTTCTGAGTGCTTCTCACTATCACCCACGCTGGTTCTCTGAGCCCTGTGTAGCTTCCTCTTCTGGCTCCTGATGCTCGCTTCACATCTCCTTCTCTGATACCCCATTGTGGTTGGGCTTTTCTAGCTGGACCACAGCTGGGCATTTACTCTCTGCCTCTTTGCCTTGAAAGTATCATGTCTGCCTTATCAAATCTATGAGTCCCACTTCCCACACACTGAGAAAACAACCACCTCTACACTTATTGACTTAGGCTTGTTTGCTTTACGTGTTTGGACTTTTAAAGCACTTTCACTCCCGAAAGGGAAATGTGCCAGTTAGTACCTGTTTCAGATCTGCAGAACTTGGCCAACATCTCAGGGGCGCCCTTCATGTAGACGTGGAAGTGATCCTCGCCTGCTAGCCCAGCGACCACAGACATCCTCTGCAGGCTTGACGAGAATGGAAACTGGCTCAAGATGGTGATAGCTTCCACAGGACTCTGAGAGTGGACCAAGAAAAAGGCGTTTAGCCCAGTCGGGATGGCTCAGTGGTTGAGCGTCAACCCAGAAACCAAGAGGACATGGTTCAATTCTCGGTCAGGGCACATGCCTGGCTTGCAGGCAGGTTCCCCAGTAGGAGGTGTGCAAGAGGCAGCTGGTGATGTTTCTCTCTCATTGATGTTTCTATCTCTCTCTCCCTCTCCTTTCCTCTCTCTCTAAAAATCAATAAAAATTTAAAAATTAAAAAAGAATAAAAGAGGCGTTTAAGAAGCTTTCAAGTGAGATTTAGCAGATACACACCAACAAACAGGGTTTCCTTTGCAATGAGCTCAGGGACATCATGAAGTGGTGTACTTGTCATAACATTGGTATTTTTCTGGCTCCCTCTAAGGCAATTCCCTCATCAAGTTGTCTGCAAGGCCCTTTCCTTTGGCTGCCTGGAGAAATCCTAATCATTTTCCAGGCCAAGTTCACAGGTCACCCCTCCTTTGTGGTGCTTTTCTCTCCCAGTGCCCATCTCTGGATTCCTGTGGCACTGTGTTTGGCCTTTATTATAGCACTTGGCACATTGTATTATACTTATTTGTACCTCTATTGATTTTTCTACAAGCCCGTGTACTCCAACACAGAGCCCAACGTGTCTAGCATTGAAATCACTCCATCCCTTAGCACCGAGCACAGTGCTCTAGCGTATATGGGTACTCAGTGGGTGTTGAATGAATTAATCGATAAATTCAGGAGTAAACAAATAAGCAAACCAACTATGGACACTGTTAAAGTAAGGCAAAATAATAGGGATATAGAAATATGTAAAATTCAGGGGAGTTTCATCTGTTTTAAGGGGAAAGAGCTACATGATTGAAAGAAGCAAATCATACCCGACTGGCTTTCGGTCCTGGTTTTATTATTATGTTTGAGTCTGACGTCCTAAATTTGCAGTCGTCTACATTGCAATCTTCCATTATCTGTTTTAAAATAAAAAACATTCATAAGATTCCTTAGGGGAAAATAATAAGAAAGAAATTTCTCTCATTTGCATAGCACTTTAATCTTTCCAAAGCCCTTTTCACATACTTTCTCTTCTAGGCCAATTATCTTAATACCCCATTGTCAGATTTCTGTTGTGTTGATTTACGTTAAAGGATCTTCTTGTAGAATGTGGAAAAGCCAGAAATATTGTGACTGCATTTTAAGTAGTAATTGATGGAAGAAGTGTGAGCTATAGGCCAATGGCTCTTCCTAAATGGTATGTCTAGTAATTGAAGGAGGGCTTACGTGGAGACTTACCCTTCAATGGAACTGAGCACATTAGCTCTCAGATGATTTAGGATTGGGTCTTTAGATAAACATGGGAGTATTTCTGATGCTATACCCATGCTACCAGCCTAATTAGGTAGCTAGATAATTAGCAAGTTAGCATATTTCAAAAAGGTTTATATTTTTTGGATATTATAACAGTGTAAGTCATACCACCTGAGAAACTAATATTAACCTAATATATGGGAAAATCAGTCAAATATATACATAATAAAGGTCAGAATATAAGAGACAATAGTGATGTTCGCTCTGTCACCTATTTAACCTTAGAAATATTGCTGCATTTTTCTAGATCATAGTTTCTTCTGAAAAATACTCTAATATCCCTTCCAGTGCTAAAATTCTTACAGTTTATAAGGACTTTTTCCCTCCCCCTTATGAAAGGTTCCTAACTACCAAAAGATGCTTAACTCCAGGCTGCTTCTCACCCAGCTTTAAACTTGATGAACATTCTTGCACTTTTATGCTTTGTTTGGGGTGGATATAACTGTTCTTAAAAACAGTTCTGACAGAGTTAATACTAGTGATTTATGTTTCCACACACGAACCTAACTCATCTGTCATTTGTGCAGATAGTGAACCCTCCTGTTATGGAAAAGGGGGCACTACTAAAACCAGGGTCAAAGTCACATATAGTAACAAGGGCCCTGTGTAATTCATTATTGTGCCAACTCTAGTGATGTTGGTAGGACATTGCTTATAATAATTACCCTGATTCCTCCCCATTAAGATCCAGGAAAGTGAGTACTGTTTTGTCTTGGTGTCAAAACTATCTCCAAAACAAACACTCTCATTATAATGTACTGATATCAGTAACTTCCCTGTTTAACAGGTTTCTTCTTTTTATTATTCTGGCCTCTAGAAAGCTACAATTTTCCTACCATACATCTTTAAATTACACTTTTTGTGAGATGTTCTTAATGTCCCTACAATAATTTGTTTCCATTTCTTTGCAACTCTGTTTAAAATGCTGTCCTGTATTTGATGTATCATTATAAGTAGCTTTAGAACATTTTTTTGGAGGACAGGAGAATGTAAGTAACTAATTCATTCGTTCATTAATACCCTCCATATGTTGGGCACTTTACAATACATGGGGCCCTTTTAGGCTCACAGTCTCAATGCTCACCACAAGTCTGCGAGTGAGGCTTTGTAATCTCAAATGCATGATGAGGCACAGACTCAGAGCCTTGGTTCTGAATTTGGGTCCACACTAGAGAGTGGTAGAGTGGAGAGGTCTTACCACCTTGTCATGACAGTTGCCAAGATGGGTTTATGACCTTCAACTACCATTCACACTCAGCTCAGAAAATTGAACCCATTGGACTAAGAGTGCCCCCCCACACACACACACACTTTGGTGCATAAACCTATGCTGTCTAATACAGTAGCTACCAGCCATTTTTAGCTATTTAAATTTAAATGAAATGAAGTAAAATAAATTTAGTTCTTCATTTGCATAGCCACATTCCAAATGCTCATTAGCCACATGTGATAAGTGATTACTATATTGGACAGCACTGCTTTAGTCTACTGTTTCTCTGAGGATGTTTTGAAGAATATTTTTCTCCAAAACATGTTTTGGCCCATAAATAAGGTTTCTGTGGTCAAATAGGTTTGGGAAATACGGCATTTCATAGTCTCTCTTGAATATTCACAATGCACCACAGTATATTAAAGAAATCTTGCAGTCAAGAAATTGATTTAATTTTGTTTAAACAGCAGTTCCCAAATCCATCTGATCATGCAACCCTATTTCATGTTGCACTCATTAACAGAGTCTTTGGCACAGAGGCTAGAAAATTCAGGTAGGATCAGACTTCATTTGTGCATGATTATAAATCTTCTCTGGTTTCAACCAAAGCTAGAAAAGCTTTAGCAGTCCCAGTAAGGATTTCTTCATGTTTTCTTCATTCTGTTGAAGCAATAAACTATCATCTTACCCAGTTGGTGCCCTCAAACATCTTGAGGTCCAGAGGGTCTCCCTGGATGGTCCCATCCAGGAGGATCAGAGAGTGGCAGCTGGCCATGGCGGCACACAGTGGGCCCCAGGGCAGAGCCCTGCCTGAGGCAAAGCTGTGGACTTCCTGGAAACTGGTAGAGAAAATGACTAATAAGTTAAGGCCTTCAACAAAATCATTTTGCACCTGTGCCCCTTAAATCTCACTAACACGGAGCTTCAATAATACCCAATCCCTATGTCAAAAACCTTCAATAGCTCCCCATGTCCAGTATGATAAAGTTCAAACCCGAGCCTGGTATTCGAGGCCCTGACTGCTTCAGTTCTATGTTACCTTACAGATTCTACTCATACTGGTGTCCTTGATGCACAATTTTTCCAGAGCCAAGTTAAACACCTTGCTATTTCTACATTTGCACAGGCATTGCCCTGCCCTTGAGCCCTTGGAGAGTTTGCAGATAGCAGCTCACTTGGCTTCCTTATTTTCTAACTGGAGTGTTCTGCCTGCACATTGCTGTTCAGAAAACCATCCTTTGCGATGGATATGAATCTCCTTTTCAATAGTTTGCCACTGGTCAATGAATGCTGTAATTACAGCATATAGAATCATAGGGACTTCTGTCAGGATACTTGTAGCCTGCGCACATGATGGCAGCATCTCAGGAAGGCACATTGTAAGGCTCAGAGCTGATTCCTGAAAACTCCCCAGAGCTGTCTCTAGGAAGTCACACACCAGAGGCAAGAAGTCCCTCAGCCAATGGTGCAGAGGAGATGAATAGGATGCCTGCCCTGTGGCTCAAGTAGAAGCATGCACGGACTGCAATATTTCTCTCTACTCAGCCTTTTGGCCTTTGCCCCTAGTCCCTGAAACTCCTGGCATGGACGTCCAGCATCTAAAGCTTGTTTTCTTCTTTGACAGTAGACCGGTTTGGTTTACCTTCTTCTTCTCCAGTCTTAGAGCTAAATAGAAATTATATCTAGATGTTTCTATCTCCCCAAAATTTTCAGAGTACTAGGGGCAAGGGAGTGAGAGGCAGGGTTGAAACTGCAAACATCCTTTTCTCCTTTTGTGACTCAGACCAGTAGAGGCCCTGCCTGTCTGGACAAAGACCTGGACTGGACCTGTACACAGCCAGGGGCAGAGACTCAGGAGTAGGGCTAGAGCCCAGGTAGCTTGTTGAGGCCCAGACCATGGGTCTCCTGCAACGATGTGCGTGCTGCCTGCCTGCTGTTACTCTGCGTCCTTTCATTCCGCTGGAGTGTAAACTAAGGGAAGAGATGGAGCTCTTCTTCTCTGGATTCCCTACCACACTAGCTGCCCAGGAAGTCTTTGCAGTTTTTACTTAAGCACAGTCCTGATTTCACTCTTTACTGCTCTGTTTTAGTCATTCAGCTTCTTAATCACTAACCTCATTCTATTCCATTTTTCATGTGGAGCTTGAAGGCCTACTTTCCCTGTCTAATTCTGAAATTAGAACTCGTTTAATTTAAAAAATTAGAATAATTGGGAGCTGGTTCCAGCCAATTATTATCCATATTTTATGGGGCATTGATCCCTCAACACTGGAAGAATGGATTTGAGTAGCCCCAAGGCAGCCTCACCAATCACACATTCCTTCTTCATGAAGGTGCCTACCAGTTGTCAGCAGTGGGGACAGTTCCCCAGAGGTCCAGCCCATCCTCTGTAAGAGTGCCAGTCTGGGGGGGAAAAATAGAGTCGGTATTAGTATAAGATTTGGAGCTTTTAATTATATCATGACTCACATAAAAACCAAATTCCAGACCTAGCTGGTTTGGCTCAGTGGATAGAGCATCGGCCTGTGGACTGAAGGATCCCAGATTCAATTCTGGTCAAGGGCACATGCCCGGGTTGTGGGCTTGATCCACAGTGGGGAGCATGCAGGAGGCAGCCAATTAATGATTCTCTCTCATCATTGATGTTTCTATCTCTCTCTTCCTCTCCCTTTCTCTCTAAAATAACTAAAATTATAAGAAAAAAAAACATAAATAAACAAGTTCCCAATAAATTAAAGTAGATCCAGTCATGCAAAGCCTTCTCTTTGGAAGCATCAAATTTTAAATCAGAGAAGGGCACCTGAAAGAAAGGTTCAGCAGGTGACAAATGATTCCCAAAAGACCATGTTGATAATTAGATGATTCTAATTACTAACCATTACAACAAAATGGAAGTGATTTGTTTTTGTTTGTTAATGTTTTGACTTGTTAAATGAGAGAGGTTCAGTGAATGAATAGCTAATAAGAACCAGCTTTGGCTTTTAGTTGACACTTGTTATCTTTCTAAAGAAGAACTCAGAAATTTTTTCTTTACTTTTTAAGACTATTTAGTTCACAGTCTGCCATCTGGTTCACACAATTTCCTAAAATATGGGTGATATGGTGACTTTCCAGATTGATAATAAAATGTTGATAAAGGGCTTTGAGACTAAAAAGAGCAACAAAGTGCTAAATGAATATTAATGAATGTCCCTGAATGGGTTTTATTGTTAGGTCAAGAGGAAAATAGTTGGAAGATTTAATTTGCTGTATTATGGGAGAGTATTTATCAGAAAATGTAACAGAGAATTCAAAACAGAACTGAGGACAATCATAGCACTTTTAATTTGCTCATTGTTTCACAGTTGGTCATGAACTACATATCCCAATGTCTTCAGTACGTAGGCTAACAGCTTTAGGCCTGCTTAATATCCATTCAGTGTAAAGAGCTGGCTACCAACAGCTTTAGGCCTGCTTAACACCCATTCAGAGTAAGGAGCTGACCACCGTTGTGTCAACATTATCAAAGCAAAGCAGAGTACTACCAAGTGTTGGGGAATATCCTGTTTCAACAGTGACACCCAGGTCTCTGACGTACTTTTTAAAAGTCATCTCTGTATAAGACACTGAATTTTCAGTTTTCTACTAAACAACATCTTCCTATCATTACAGCACATCACATTAGCACAGTACTTTACAGTGAAGTGATCACAATGCTTTCAATTCTTACAACTGAGTAAATAGGTAGACACAGTCTCAGGCTACAGGTGACCGGAGCAGCCTTAGGACACAATGGCCTGTAAATAAGAAAGAAAGAGCCAGAATCCAGTCATCTAGAGTCTTCCACTAGATGACAAATGGTAAATAAATTTGGCAAAGTATATGGAAAGACAAAGCCCATACTGATTTTTAGATTAAAGAATTAAGGAATCTTTGTTGTATTCATTCATTTGGACTTTATAGAAAGCTAACATGCCTGTGTGAGTTATTTCTTGAAGGGCAAAAACAAGAAAAGCTATTTGCTTCATTTCCCTCCTGCATTTTATAAGAAACACAACCTATGTGTTTCCAAATCCCCTTGAGTTGTTCCATTTCAAAAAGACTTAGCAACTTAATCCAAACTGAGATGTTTTTCTGGTGATTAGATTATGTTTTTAAGCATCAATATCTTGAACACGAAAATAGAGATGGTACGGCAGCAAATAGAAATGGTACCATGTTATTTATCTGCGTGAAAATGACCATAATACAATAAAGCTGACCATAAAATAGAAAGAAACCTAAATTATAGCTGAGATTCTAAAGAGAATAAAATAGATAAAGAAAACTTCTTGGCATAAATATTAGCCCAGGCTTGGGCTGAATTGAGTAGAAAAGGGGGAACTTGTTTTAGAGAACTTACAACAAACCAACATTAACTGGAGATACACATGGGAACAAGTGTACTCAGAAGCCCAGTGGTAAATATCTCCTAAATTGAAACAGCCCTAGATGGAAATTCAATAATTCAATTAATTGTAGAGTGCTTTTATTCCAACATCGTGCTGGTAGAGCTTTATAATGTGAAAGCTAGAAAGAAACTTAAAGATAATCTTATCGCAAAAGTTATGCAGAAAGTTAGTCTAAATTCAGGATTCGACTTCTCATTTTGCTAACTCCCAATCAGGACTCCTTGACACTATCACATGATGTCATGCCACCAGGAGTTTGGCCAAGCTTGCTGAGGAGTGGACCCTAACACAGACTAGCAAAGAAGCACATGAGGATGGGGAGGAAAAAGCTTTACATAGGAAGTAAGATAAACACCCTGTGTAAAATTAGCTCTAGAAATAGCCAAATATAATGAACATATTTTATAAATCTCCTTCCTATATTCTAAACAGTAATGATGACACTGGGGTAAATAATGGGAGTCCCTATCAGAAAGTGTCCAAAGGGCTGTTATCTGGCCCTGAATCTAAAAGGAAGCTACTGTTAAGCTAACCCTACTGGTTCCTCACTGATGGCAATAGAGGATTTCCTTTACCAAAGGAAACTGAAAGAGAATAGAACTAAAGCAATCTAAGAGCTATGCCACTTCCAATTGGGGATGAAGACTTGTCAAGCCTGGTCCTGTCTCTCCAGTTTGTCCTCTACTCTCCATTCTTGACTTCACTGTTGACAATGAGCGTGCTCTTCAGTTACCCCCAGATAACTTCCTGCTTCAACCCGATCTCCCTTCTATCCCTTCTTATCAAACGCCCCCATTGGAATAACTAAAACACACCTATAAAAATGTTACTGGCCCTGACCAGTTTGGCTCAGTGGATAGAGCGTCGGCCTGCGGACTGAAGGGTCCCGGGTTCGATTATGGTCAAGGGCATGTACCTTGGTTGCGGGCACATTCCCAGTAGGAGGTGTGCAGGAGGCAGCTGATGGATGATTCTCTCTCATCGATGTTTCTAACTCTCTATCCTTCTCCCTTCCTCTCTGTAAAAAATCAATAAAATATATATTTAAAAAAATGTTACTGGTCTTTTTAAAAAAAAATGGGAAGGACTCCCATTCGCTTCATGACAAGGCCCTACTCCTTAGCTTGGTACATCAGGCACTGAACAATTGGGCTCCTCTCCAGCTACATTCCCTACCAAACAGCCCACATTCCAGCCACACCCCAGTGAAATTTATCCTCCTGTGCTATAGGCCCTCACATCCTTATGCTTCTTAGCTGCTTGGCTCTGAGCCTAGGGCCCATTCTATCTAACAACCAAAACCCAGCTCAGAGATGACCTCCCACCTGTGCCAGGTAACTGCACCTCTATGCTCCACTCGTACCTGCATTAAGCATGCATCTCACTGCATTATCATCATCTTCACTTCCATTTACCTGCTTCCTCAGCTAGACCATGAACTTCTCAAGAGCTAAGAACATCTCATTATGGGGCCCTCTGCCAAAGTGGGTTAATTAAAAAGTGGTCAAGCCTTTATCAATTATTCAAATGCAAATGAACTGAAGACACCACCCAGGGAACAAGCCAGGCCATTGCATTATAGCAGTGAAGCTATGAGGCAGCGATATGAATATGCTCACTTCAGCTCAGGACAAAGCACTTCAGGGAATCAAAATGTCCCTCATATTTTTTTTTTGCCTGAAAAAGCAGTCATATCTATAAGTTACTACAGTAAGAGGTTGTTTAGAAACTCAAAACAGGGACCAAAAGTATTAAATTTCACAGGAAAGAAGTTCATGAGTGATGGCTGACCCACTTCCTTGGGTCTCAGCACAGCAGGCTTCTAAAACATGATCTCACATGAGCTCACTATGTGGCCTTCTCTGGCCTCAGTGCTCCCATCTGTAAAATGAGGGCGCCGGACTAGACATTCTCTGAGGCTCTTCCCAGCTCTAAAATCATCGATTGCCAAACTGCAAAGTTTAGTTCATACTTTGTCAAAGCACACGAGGTTTATTTGTCCGCACATATTGATTCTCTGTGGGGAGATACAGTAGATTTTCTTTTTCTTCAGCCTCTTTTGTGCATACATGATGCCTGTGGTCAGGGCAGCTGGCAGCACTGGAGGGACAGTTCCGGTGAAGAGGAGCAGGGCCATGGCTACGGTATGTCTTGGTGAGACCTGGGGAGGGGAGGGACACACAGGTTAGCCCAGCCAAGCAGGCTGGCACCCTTCCTGGCACTGTCTCCCCCAACACAGGAGCTCTAATGACTCAGAAGATTCCTACCGAACTGGCTCTCTCGGCGGGGCTGAGGGTTCTCTTGGCTGTACTCAACGAATGAATAAATTGCCTCCCACTGCAGAACACAGGAGACTCTGGTCCTCACCCCACACTCTCCATGACCTTTCCTGCCTCGGTTTCTCTCCACATAGCATTCCTTCCACTCAGAGTGCCTAGCCCTTCTCGGCCCATCCATACACCCTCTGGTCTCCCAGGGCACTGGGACTAGTCTAGAGTTATATTTCACACAGTGGCCTGACTCTTGGATTATAAACCTCTCTCCCCCTCTAGCCCACAAACTCCTTGGGTACAGCAGCTGTAACTTACTCATCTTTGAATTTATCTTATTCATCTCTTGATAGAGAGTTTAGCACAGTTTCTGACACAGAGGAGGTGCTCAGCACACACACTGAATCAATGATAACTTGCTAAAAACTATGGCCAATATTTTGCCAAGATCTCAGCAAATATTATCTGCTATAGGGAAGCCAATAATGAAAATAAGTGGCCCTCACTGGACACACACTCTGAGGCGGGCACACACACATTGCTTAGTTACTCCACAATAACCTCATGACGTATATATCATTATTTTTTCTTAATCACTTAATAAGTGAGGAAACCAAGGCTTAAAAATTAACTTCTTCAAGGCCTCATGTTAGTTAAATGATGAGGATCTGAACTTAGTTGATCCGACTCCAAGGCACAAATGCATACCAATGTGTTTTACTAACAAGCCAGTTCTCCTGGAGTCAAGATTCCAGGCAGATCTGAAGAAATTCACAGGCTGGTAAAGGCAGGGCCAAGATCAAGTCATGGGGTGGTTTGTTTTATTTTTCACATGCCCTAGATATAATGGCTCAATCCTCTCCAACCTTGCCTAGGTGTTATTTTTTTTTAAATGAACCATAAGTTTGACCATAAAGTCCTCTTTCGAGTACTGAAATCGCAGCTTCAAATTCAGTAGCAATGGCTGCTAGATACATCTTTGGTCCAATCTCAGTTTATTGCAAAATCCATAATTGCCTGCTTTTCCCTCCCACAGCCACAGGGGAGTTTTGACTGTAAGGACTCGACCCTGTCTAATCTTGAACCAGTGCACATAAAGGAGGTCAACAGCACCATAGGTTTTGACCCCAAGAAGATGGGGTCTATAATTAGCCTTGTTGCTTTGGTGCATATTAGATGTTGAGTCCTGCCCAGAAAACCTTCCTTCCCCATCATTGCCTCAGGACAGGGTCTTGTGCCTGTTTTCCTGCTGAACACTCCTACTCCCATTTGAAACTGGTATCCTGCCTCAAAGTTCAGCCCCCCGGGGTTTGACAGTCTGCCTCATTCTTTCAGGGTCCATTCTACTCCTGCCAATATGCCCTGGCCTCCTCCAGACGTGTTCCATGGAGTCTTACTTCAGATTGAAAGGACTATCAGAGATCAAATGAGAGCATGAACATCGCCTAGATATTCTTAAGAACGTGTCTCTCCCCATAATATTCACCCCTCTCCCCCTCCAACACACACAGAGAATGTACTTGATGCTACCAGTTGGGGCATTGTAACTAGGTCACCTGCTCTCAGTTTCATACCCATGTTTGAATCTGTTTATTCACATTTTTTTCTTCTTTCCTTTGAGCCTACACTGTTAAGATCTCAGATGTCTCACAGAAAAGATGGCATAGCTCACAAGAGAATCAGACTCTCAGGACCAGAAAGGACCTCAGAGATCATTGTGACAACCTTTCCCTCTCCAGCTATCACAGCTATGAAGAGAGAGACATTCAAATGAAACAGACACCCTGAAGCTTAAAAGGACGTGGGAATCCATGCAGCATGCAGCTCTGTAAAAGTAGACATTGAATTTCATCTCAGAACCTAACAAAACACAGGGCCAACCATTGCCTGCATGGTATGTTAAGTATTCCCTGGACAGAGTACACCCTCAAATATGTCAACACTCACAAATAATCCATATTTCTAGGCATGACATTCAGGATCTCCTTCAATCTGATCTCTTTCTACCTTGCTAGACTTAATCTCTTAATTGCTTGCTGATGCCAGAAGGCCCGTGTGCATTTCTCCTTTTGTATTTGCTCACTCAAATTAGTATGGCCTTCCTGCTCCCTGATCTGATTAACGAAATCCTCCCCATCACATCAGGCTTAAGAAATATGTATTTTCTCTGAAGCTATTTGGCTTGGGTATCACCAATGCAGTAACTTCTTATCCCCATCTAAGTGGTGAAAGGAGCAACTTTTTGTAGCTGCACCATCTAATATAATTTTTACTAACCACAAATGGCTAATTAATGAAAATAAAATAAAATAGAAAATTCACTGCCTCGGTTACACTAGCCATATTTCAAGCGCTCAATAAGCATGCATGGTTAAGGGCTACCAAACTAGACAGTGTCTACACTGCATACAATATTTTCATCATCTAAGCAAGCTCTGTTGGACAGCATTGATTCACAGAATAACAGGACTCAGTGGTAAGTCAAACTCCTTGAGAAAACTATATTATTAAAAACCCTTACCCTCAGTACTTACTCTGTGATACATATACACACCAAGGGCATAGAAAAAACCCACAAGTCCAATACAGGCCAGGAACACTATGAACTTGAAGGCATCACTGTAGAGTTTGAAGTTCAGAGGCCGGGGGTAAAGGATGGATCTCACCAAGTCCCCTTTGGCTGTATTGTAACCTGCATGAAGATAATTACAGGCAGAGGAAGGTCCCTTTAGTTTCCCCCAAACCAAAAATGGTTTGTATTGAATTAAGAATTGGTTAGGAGGGCGGCGCTGGGGGGCGGCCCCAGCAGCGTGGGCGGGTAGGGGGCGGTGGAGGAGGTTAGGGGGCAGGAAAAAAAAAAGAATTAGTTAGGAGGGTCATTTGACTATGGCATGAAAACAACATTGCTGTGACCTAACAGTGTATTTACATTTATTCTCCTCACAATTCGCTGGGCACAAGAAGTAGCATTCCCGTAGCCCTGCTTGGTTTCTCTTTCTTTTCGAGTCACTGTGTCAGTAGCTCACATTGCAGTTTTAGACCAAATATGTATTGTAATAATAGAAAATTAAGAGAAAAACAATGCACAAGGCAAGTAACTTCTTAAATATATATGCCTCTGATCATGTCATTTTAAGATCAAAAACCTTCCAGAACACCCACTTTTTAGAATAAAGTTCACATAACTAGGCACGGCATTTGAGGTCCCCTTAAAGCTGTTCCACCCCTTCCTTGCTAGACTTATCTCTCAACTGCTCACTGGTCCCAGAAGACCCATGTGCTTTCCTTCCTTTGTGTTTTTCAGATGTAAATTAACATGTCTTTTCAGCTCTCTGATATGATTGGCTAAATCCTTCCTATGAGGCGTGGCTCAAAATGCCACTTCATCGAATTAATGTTTTCAGAGTCCTACTTTTATAGTTCATATCAAAACTAATCTCTCTGCTTTTTGGAATGTCTGTAATACTTGGTCAAAGACATCTATCACTGCTCTGTGTTTGAGTTAGCTATAAATCCATCTGTGTCCCTCACCACACCATAAATCTTCCTTAAAGACAAGGAATACCTCATGATTTTTTTTCTTTCGAGTCCTCAGTGCATAGCACTTAGTAGATACTCATTAATATCTAAGTTATTAATATCTAAGGTTGCCTACTATACATTCTAGATATGAGTCAGTATTATAAATATAAAACATGTCTTAATCCCACTACTTAATGGACACCTGGTCTCCTGAAACATGGCTTTTCAGGCTTTGGAGAAAAGGGGCAGTGTTTCCTGTAACCTGTTACCTTAGCACAGTAGTTTTCAACCTTGGCTGCACATTAGAATCACCTGGGAATCTTGTTAAAATCCTGATTTCTGGGCCTCATCCTCCGGAAATTCTGTTTCTTTGTTACTAATGATGAGGCCCAGAAATCAGGATTTTAACAAGATTCCCAGGTGATTCTAATGTGCAGCCAAGGTTGAGAACCACTGCCTTAGCACTTTACAAGCTCAAATCAGGTGCTTTTCATGATCCCTACCCTTCTTGGCTTCTGCTAGTCAGCAGGCCAAGAGATGTTCTCCTGCGCACTAAATAGTTTGAACAAAACTTTTTTTTTTTAATTTGAAAAAAATCAGGTTGTAGTAGAGAGATAAAGTGCAAGGTGCATTTTAGGTCTGTGACTATGTCAGGTAGCAGAAATATAGGTCAGGGGTGAACACCAGAGTTGGGACAGATCAAGGAAGGTGTTGGCCATGTGATGTCATGTGAAAGATTGGGACTAATTCTAATATCTTGAAAAGTTTTTAAGCATGATGTGCATAAGCTGCTTCAAGTTATGTTTTATAGATGTGACTTGGTGACAGATTGAGGAATATGTTAGAGAAAGGTTGAACAAAATATAAGGAAAAGTATTTTAGGCAAAGTTGAAAGCAACAGTCAAGAAATGTTTCTGTTGTAATGGTTTAGACAGGATATGGTGAAGGCCTAGACACAATGGGGGTGAAGGAGAGGGAGACAGGGCTCAGGACGTACTGTGAAGTGGACAGGATGGGGTGCCCTATTTGATATGGGAGAAAGTGAAGAGTTAAGATAAATATGAAGACACTACCAGATGGTGATGTTGTCAACAGAAAGAAGTGCTAGAGGAGAACAAGATCACGTTTAAATGCCTTGACTCTGAAGTGTCTATGGGGCAACCAGGTGGAGATATCCAGCAGGGATCTTAATAGCCCAGCAAGCAACTCTTTGAAAGAAAAATTCTCTCAAGTGATAGTGGTTGAAACTGTTTTCTTGGTACTCAGAGTGGGTGGAGAGAAGAGGAGACAAGAAGCCGAAGGACACAAGAAAAACCAAGAACACACTTTTGCCTTTGAGGAAATATACTTTATCCCTGTGTTTGATTCATCACCTACAAGGGTTTTAACAATGAACCATTCAGTTGAAAATGGTGGCAACTTAGAATAATAAGGGCCTGATTGAAGATGAGTGTGGCTGTTATTACCGGAATGTGGCAAACTCCATAATCACAAACAAGATTGCCCCAAATCCAATTCCCCCACCTTCAATCATAGACTAAACTTACAAAAGTGGAATTGACTCACCTGTTCGCAAAACAACTGCTCTTACTGGCCCCTGCCCAGTGGGCTTGACCTGGATCACTTCTGTGCCACAGAAAAGAACATGTTTCCGATAGTCCTCTGATCTGTGGGATTTCCAGGGCATGGTATTCTCCATATGGGGCAATGGCGTCTTTGTAACGGGTATACTTTCTCCTAAAGAAGATTGTATTTTGTTGATTTTGTGTGAACTCGAATTATTTAGAGCTGGTGCTCGCCAGTTTCAAGAAAGTATACAGACCACAGCTAATCGGGTCTGAATGCTCATCCCTTGAGTCAGGTGACTGTTCTTAGGGATACAGGATACAAAATGTGGGACACTTGATACTATTTCAAATATTTATTTAAGTTCTTCTTATATTTCCAACATCTGACCTAGTTATAATTTTACGAACAGCCTATTTTAGCGAAGAGTCATCACAATCATTCCCCCAAGTGTTCTTTAAGCCAACACTATTCTAGGCAATAAAGGAGCAAAAAACATGTACATAGTTATTATTATTTGCCTCTCATTCACCCATTCATCTGCCCATTTATCCATTCATTCAACAACTATTTTTAAGTGCTTACTCTGTGCCAGGCACTGTTCTAAGTGCTGGGCATATAATGATGAACAAGACAGACAGAAACCCTGCCCTCCTGAAGCTCAGGGAGCCAGACAAGTAAGTAGCCTCTCTCCTGGGCTCTTAGCCCAATTGTGGGCTGTCCATCCCAACCTGGACATCCCACTAGCATCTCCACCTCATCATATCTGAAGTCCATATCAATATCTTCATCCTTAAACTTCCTCTTGTTTCTTTATGGTACCACTCTTGCTAAATTAGTTTTACAACTTCCAAATCATGTTTAATTTTTCCTCTTCCTATACTCTGCTCTACTCTTTCATAGAATCATTTTCTGAGTCCAGATGCCTTTTCCTTGTGAATGCACCTCACCCAGTCAGTCTGGAACTCTTCTTGCAGCTAGGTTCCACTGACTTCACTAGTAATCTCTGTCTGACTCATCGTAGTTGCATTAACAATGGATAAGCTGTGAATTGTTTAGCTCTTTGGAGTACAAACACATTCTCTGGATGACCTGAGGCTACAGTGGGACTAATCTTCTTTATTAATAAGTTCTCAACCACAATCTGCCTTGACTTCCTGAGTTAAAAAAACAACAACAACCCTCCAGTCCTTCCTCCTATGTTTATCCTTTACTGTCACACTGCTACCATACAACACTTCTGACCCCACAAGAAGCAATTTTGTGATGCCTGCTGGTTGTCCTACAATCTACCTCAATTCTGACACTGTCTACCTAGAGATAGCATCAGATCCCACAGGTTGAGGGCTCAATCCCACAGGACTGCTTCCACCTCACTGCAGATGTCAATTGGAAATCTAAGTTGTCACCTGTGCTTCTGACCAATAAACCTGTGGCTCCCACTACCCCTCTCCTTGGAGTTGATTAATTTGCTAAGTGGCTCACAGAACTCAGGCAAACACTTACATTTACCAGCTTAGTAAAGGATATGTTAAAGAATAGAGAAGAACAGTCAGATGAAGAGATACGTAGGGCAAAAGCTGGGAGGGCCCCTGGTTCCAGAGTTGGGGTGCATCACCCTGCTACAAGTGGATGTGTTCATCCACTTGGAAGATCCATGAACCCTATACCAAGCACTGTCCCTAAGTCATTTATTTAGAACAATTATGACATCTATCCATTGTGTGGATTTATCAGTTGCATTCTAAATGGTTTTGTAAAAATAATCTCTTGACAAATCTCCAAATTTCTGTGTCACATTGTTTTTAAATCAACCTTTGCAAAGGCAGATACTTAGAGAATTACAAATGTTTCTCTGCCTTTGGATCACAGAATATTAATTCACAATATATAATTAACTAGACGCCCAGTGCACAAAATTTGTGCATGGGTAGGGTCAGGGCCTTCCTTTATTCTGCACTGCCCACTGGTGGTCAGTGCATGTCATAGCGAGTGATCAAACTCCCAATTGGCCAAACTCCTGAGGGGACACTTTGCATATTAGGCTTTTATATATTTATATATTTATATAGATGAATAGTTTCTGCACACGCAACCAACAGTATGGGAAACAGCCAGCTATTCAATCACTAGAAATGGAAGTCATTGGATACAGGTTCCATAGATAAGATTCAAATCAGATGATTGTACACAGAGATGATTTTAAAATCTCTTTTACTCTGTTCACATATTAATAAGGAGTGGTTGGACTTTCCCAGAATCCCAAGAAAGAATAGATCCTCCTAGAAAAGTTTGGACATGGCTAGAGAGGGTGTCAGAAGGAAGTTACACTCACTGTTAACAGTTCAGTTGGCTTCCAGGACTTGGAGGTCCTGGGTGCTGAGATGGGAGATTCTCTCCCTTGTCACCAGTGAGCCTCTGCATGGTGACAGTGTTTGAAATGCCACGTCCTTGTCTGTTTACATTACTGGGACCATTGGACTGTAAACTATTTAGGGCAGGACATTTGTCTTAGTGATCAGCACACAACACAGGGCCTGATACATAGTAGGCATTTTTGAATCTTTATAGAGTTAATGGATAAACAAAAGAATAAAGAAAAGAAAAGAAAAAGGGGGTGAAAGGAGAAAAGGAAGAAAAGAGAAAAATATTGGACCTACCAACTGATTTTAAGCTGGTCTGACAGAATATAAATGTGAAGTAATCACTTAGGGAAATTCTGAGGTGTCTAACTTGGATCATGCATACTTCCCTCACATGCGTTTCAAATAAATCAGTAGTTCTAATAAGTTGACGGAGAAGGAAGGGGATTGTGGCAGAGTGACTCCTCCTCCTCCCTCCCCTCCTCCCACCCCAATTATTCCTAAGAGAATGAGGAGGCAGTAGTTATAAGCACAGGTTCTGAGGTCAAAATGTCTGGGTTTAAGTGTTTTATTTTCTTCATAAAACTTTCAACTGTTGGAAACTTATGTCATTTACCTATTTTCATATTTTCTGTCTCCCACTATAATGTCAGCTCCAGGAGGGCTAAAATCTTATCTGCCTTGTTCCCTGCTGTATCCCCAGCATCTGGTAGAGTGTCTGCTCCATAGTAAGGGCTACTAAAACCTTTGTGAAATGAATGAATGAACAAATACACAAAGGAATTTAAATATCAGCACCACCAACTCTAAGCATTGTGACCTTAAGCAAATTACTCACTCTCTCTAGGCCTTAGGTTCTCCCACCTTTATATAGTTGTGGATTGAATGAAATAACACACGTAAAATGTTGGCACAGTGTCTAATACATATAAGAACTAAGAGAAGTCAGCTATTTTGCCAAGAGAGATTTTTAAAATGTTGATAGGATTTCCCCCGTGGTATTCCCTTTTGCCTCTTGACTGCTTTGTGAGGAGCTAGATCTTAAAAGGCACCATTGTCTCAAGAGGCAGGAAACAAAGGACAGAGGAGTAGATAACTAGTTTTTTGGTTTCAAAAGTCACTCATAAATTTGATCATAAATTTTAGAGAGTAAGAACAAAGCTTTCCCCTTTCTCCTACTACTCTGCTAGCTAAATAAAAATCCCTGGAAAGGCAGCTGAAAGAAAATCCAAAGGAAACTTAGATTGTGGAAACCGAGAGCCAAAGGCACCTGGATCTGCTTCCTTTTCCAGGTAGATAAGCCTGGGACATTTCCGAAGCCCAGAGGGAAGTGGGGGCACCAGAAAGGATGGGCTGCCCTAGTCTAGATCCCCTTCCTCGATGCCTTGCACATCAGCAGCCAGACTAGGATCTGAAGGACCTCAAATTCATGGGGACAACTGTTTGATTTATCCCAGGTACTTCACAAAGCACATTTCCAAGGGTGGCAGAATTTGGAACCAAAATAATAATTACGTGTAGCTATAAAATAAAGTGAAGCTTCTTGCTTAGTTGAGCTTAATGCAATAGGATGAAGCTAAGGAGATGATGAGGAGGAAGATCTTACAACAGGCATGTGCTATGGATGGAAATACCCAGCTAAGGGAAAAAAGGAGATGAGGCAATCACAAAAAAATCACAGCAGCAGCTTTGCTCACCTTAGAATCCTCCTCCTCACTCCTATGGCCCCTTCTGCCTGAGAAGAAATACCAATTCCATTTCCAATTTTAATTCTCTCACTTGCTAGCTGAGCAGCCCTAGTTTCTTTTCATTTCAATTTCCTCATCTGCAAATTGGGTATTATAGTAGTTCCTAATCAATTTGTTTTATGCCACAGTGAAGTGATATATAAAAGTTATTTGTAAAATGTATGAAGATGCTAGGAGTATTTGCTGTTCTTACATAAAATAAAGACTTCTACATATGTAAAGGTCTATTTTGCAAATGGGGGAAACTACCTGAGTCACATTTGTGGACCAATGTTCTAGGAATACATTTTCACTTTCAGGAAGTTAACCCTAATCTGTTTGTTCAATCAGCATCCTTTCCACAAATATGTACATGAGTGGAAAGATCTATGTAGGCTGTGTGATAAAATATTTAGAGTATGGTGGTACTTAGCTCTTTTTGAAGCAATGAATGAGAAAGCAATATTTCTGTTTTATGTGTCTGTCTCTGAAATTTACTTGTATCAGTACTTAAGTTATATAGATATTAATGCTGGTGACTTTATTTTTTTTAGAAAAAGACCCTAGGAAAAGTCACTTACTATTTAAGGTGACTTTAGGTCAATTTTGCACATTTATTGAAGGAGAGTCTTGTTTACCATTTCTACTTCTCTGGAACTCTCTGAGTTTTCCTCAGAATCCAGGCGAGAACTCCACACCGAGTCAGACCCAGGCGAGTAAATACTGCTTTCCACCCTACCTTGTTTGTTCACAACCAGGCTCTCTGTCACCAATGAGGGAAGCCATTCCTCATGGGCAGGCTGCTGGGAAATGTGACAGTCACTGCCTTTGAGTGAGGAGGACAGTTCTTGGGCTTAAGGTTTGCACAGTGGGTACTATGGCAACATCCCGGATGAAGGATATGATTAACATGCAAACTTCATCACTGTCATTATAAGAAAGTTAGATTTCAGCACATTAAAGGGATATTTTGCAATTACACTGAATATATTTGTGTTTACCACATTTTCTTCTCTCAATTTTAAATTAAGCAGACTCATTTTTAATTTGAAATCAGCTTGTGTTGAACAATTTAGGAATAGATAATGACTCCCTTTACATTTAGGTGATGTTAAAAAGTGTGTGTGTACGTGTGCATGTGCGTGTGTGTGTGTGTGTGTGTGTTTTCCTGTCTTTAGCAATTTGGAAAGAGAAAAATGCAACAATTTGTAAAGAGAAAAATGCAACAATTTGTAAGCACAAAAGACAAATAGTTTCTATTTCTGTGCTGCTGTAGAATCTCTTTTTCTCTCATTAGGACGTTGTGTGTGTGTGTGTGTGTGTGTGTGTGTGTGTGTGTGTGTGTGTTTGCCTAAGGAATATTTTGCAAACAGTGCTTTACTAATTACACAAATTCAAGTGGACTTTACAAAATACAAATGAGAACAAGGACAATTTAAATCATAACTAGAAAACTGGCTTTCTGTTCAGTGAGATCATCTAGAAATATGATTCTAAAGAACAGAACTATTGCTGGCCTGTGTTGCCCAGTGGATTGAAGCATCACCCCATGTACCAAGAGTTTACTGGTTCTATTCCCAGTCAGGACACATGCCTGGGTTGTGTGCTCAATCCCCAGTATGGGGCATATAGGAGGCAGCCAATGGATGATGTTTCTCTCTATCATTGGTGTTTCCATCTCTCTCTTCCTCTCCCTTCTGCTCTCTTAAAAAAATAAAAAAATAAACACATGTTTAAAGAACAGAACCATTACACTGCCTTTCCCCAAAGGTACAACTCAGTCTCCTTCCCAGTGACACCTGGGACTCAGATTTCCATCTACAGAGAGCAGGGTTGGATAAAATCTTTGCACCCTGCCAGTTGTGAGGGTTGGTAGTTTTAGGTTGTGTTTTGTTTAGATGAAAATAAAAACCATTCTCATATTTATGAAGAGATTGTGTATCAAACAGTGTAGTGCACACCCTCCTCAGAACCCAACTCATCCTATTCACGCCACATGTCAGGCAATTAATTAATCACATGTTGTATTAGTTTTTTTTCTAGTTTTGTATTTCTCATGGCTTGATTCTTTTATTGTTAAATGTTTCCTATTTGCATATACTGTGTCTCCCTCACCCCTCTCTCACTGCCTAGCATGGGCCTGGTATAAGGCAGTGTGTATACACTGGTCTGCTTTGCTAACACTTGGCCTAGTTGTTGGACAGGAAAAAGAAGCTCCATGATAGCTGCCTACCTGTGAGCATGCCTTCGTTCACCACACAGCTCCCGTCAATCAGAAGAGCATCACATGGCAATGAGCATTTTCCTGGTAGAATGAGGGCATCTCCAGGAACCAAGAGGCGGGATTCCAGCTCCTGCTCACCTACACAACAGCAGAGTTTCCATGACTAGCTGACCTTCTCCTGTTTTTACTTAAAAATGAAGGGACTGCAAACTCATGTCAGCCTGTTGGCAAGAACTACCCAGGGTGCTCACCTGCTCCAGCCCCTTTCCACTCAATCACAAATTCCCAAGAACCGGGACGAGGGAATTGATTTCTGGGCCATAGCAAAGGACCAGCTCAGCAACAAGACCTCAGCTTGATCCCAGTACCTGGGACAGTGCTCTGCCCAGAGAAGTCATTCAAGGACATTGGTCAACAGAAAAGACTGCCTCTTTGCTGCTGCTTACCCTCTTTGGCTGAGTTCCTGACCCCCTGCGGCACACTCCTTCCTTTGAATGAGAACGAGTGTAAACCTTGCAGACAGCTTCTGCTGCCCCAGACACAGCTCCTCATTCCTCACAGAGAGCCACGGCCACCTCCCACTCCCCAGGCTAAGTCCAGAGCCAATGCCAGTGTCCAGCCAGCCATCTACAAGCTTCATTCAGGCTTGTGTTCTGGATAACAGATCAAAATGTCTGAGGCAGGGTCTATTTGGAATAGTTAGTTAGGAAAATTAAAAAGCCATAGGAAGGCTTATCCAGTAATATTTAAATAACTGAGATATGGAGGGTAGAGGAAATCTGAAGCAACCCATACATGGGGTAAGAATGGTTTAATCTGGGCTGGGATGAGGATGAGCCATGCAAGGGTATAAAATTCAACAAGGTTCTCACTCTCAGAGTTCCTGCAGGTACAGGTCAGCATTTGTATGATCTTGCCTTCTTAAATTTTGCATCTCAGATGCCTTGTTTGCCTCACTTTAGCCCCAGTCCTGGGTTCAGTCAGAAAAGCCTTTTTCTCATGGACTAATAATAATAAATGAAGCTGATTCCACCCTGAAATATTATCATGCTAACGATAGCAGAAGACATTTCACTTACCTTTGCCTTTTACGGTGATTGTAACCTGGACTTTGTTGTGATCCTCCACAAGGTTGTGCAGCTTAACTGATTGCTACCAATTGAGAGTCAACGTTTCAATATTAGTCCACAAGGAAAGCATATAAGGAAACAAACATCTTCTCAATACAGTAAATGCCGAGGCTGCTGTCATAGCCAAACTAATTCTGAGCAAAGACTCGAGTTCAACTTTTGATGCTCCTGCTTCCCTCCCCCAACGCCTACTCTACCCAACCCTCTATCTGCAGAAGTAGATATGCTCATTGGTTTTATGCTATTTCAATCCCAGGAAAAATAATGCACAGCCACTGCCCTCACAGACCTAAGGCAAAGCACAAAGGCTTCACTTCTGGAAGATGTATGATTAGATTGGGGAAGAACGAGATCATAAACGTGTCACTTCCCCCTCTGTGCCTCTGTTTCCCTGTCTGCAAAACAACAACACTGAAGGCGACTTGTAAGTGGCTTTACTTTGGAAGAGTCTGTGAATGCCTGGGTTGTGTTTTGATTGACCATGGAACGGTCATCCTCTCCTTTATTATGAGTGGGTTTTCACATTGGGGAAATCTGCAGAGTGGAGCCACACTGCTCTGTTGGAATCCCGATGCTGCCACTTATACGTTATTTAGCTTATTTAACTTTGTTTCCTTCATCTGAAAGTGGAGATGATTATACTGCCTATCTATTCTATAGGGTTGTTTTAGTTCATTGTTACCTTAATTATTCCTTTGGATAGTATTGACTACTGTGGCAAGAGCTCAAAGAGTGTTAATGATTAATAAGAAGTTGTTTGTCTGAGTACATCAGGTGGAAGAATTTGCTTGAGGTGGAATAACTGAGATATGACCCTATGCAAAGCAATCCAGAGAAGTAGAGGCAGTATCTCTTAGGATAACTCAGGAGACAGGGAGGCAGAGGCGAGACTGCTATGCTGTCCACACAGTTTCCCACACCCACTGTAGGGGGTGCTGTCAGCTGGAGGGAGTGAGATGCTGCCTCAGCTGGGGCATCCCTGGAAGGCACTGCCCATCTCTGTATAGGTGTCAGTTACCTAGACACCAATATGTAGAAGAGGTCTGAATAGTGTCAACAGTACTTAAACACAGCTTTAGCTAACTCAAATACAAACCCTTTCCTTTTAGATGTTAGAGCATATTATTTGTATCTGTTCTGTGGATGATTTTTGACATTACAAGTGTCACCAAGCTAAGACAAGCATTGCACACAATTATGCAACTTTACTCTTGAGAGAACATAATGAATTCTGTGTTAATATTTATATAGAACAATTTATTATTTACTTCAGTTATGCGTGAAAAGCTAAATTTCAATCATTTGGACCAATTGAGTGGAAGAAATTATATTACTGTCAGGCACATATTCATTTCCCTAACTTGACTTCCTGAGGCTTGCCTGTTGGGACATCCGCTTTAATGATGGATAACGGTGAGAAAGTCAGCAGCAGTTCTGTGGCAAGAACACTGGATTCCATCAGGATTCCCCATTTGTGGACCAGGCTTCTCCACTACCAGCTATGTACCCGTATATCAGAAATGTCATCTTTTAAGTTATTTGTCTCCTCTGTAAACAAATGACATTGAATTGGACCACTTTCAAGCTCTAAATGGCATTATACTGATTAATTTTATATACCAGACATTTATTCAAAACCTCCAAGGCTTCATAAAAGGAATTCCCAGAGTATCTAAATGACTGAAATTATTATTATTTTTTAAACAGTTTAAAACGTTATGCAACTACTTTGTGACTGACACTGTTCTAAGCACTTGGAATATGGTACTTGATTTAAAATTTTTTTTAAGTAATTCTATAATGAAAATTTTATCTCCAATCCTATCTAATAAAATAGTGATATGCAAATTAACCATCACTCCATCACAAAGATGGCGGTGGCCACGGAGCTGGAGCAAGCAGGAGGCTTGGTTGCCCCCGGCAATGGAGGAAGCCAAGCTTCCCGCCTGCCCTGCTGGCCCTCAGCTCTGCTCAAGGCTACAAAGTTTCAATTATAGAAGATAAATAAACCCCAGATACCTGCTTCCAGACCGCGGGCATGGCCAGCCTGAAAATGGCCCTCAGCCCCTCACCCAGGCTGGCCACACCCCCACAGGGTGAGGGTCCCCACTGGGGGGCTTGACCAGCCTGAAAACAGCCATTAGCCCCTCTCCCAGGCTGGCCAGGCACCCAAGCGGGACCCCCACCCTGATCCGGGACACCCTTCAGGGCAAACCAGCTGGCCCCTACCCATGCACCAGGCCTCTATCCTATATAATAAAAGGGTAATATGCAAATTGACCCTAACAGCAGAACGACTGGGAATGACTGGTCACTATGACACACACTGAACACCAGGGGGCAGACGCTCAATGCAGGAGCTGCCCCCTGGTGGTCAGTGCGCTCCCACAGGGGGAGCTCTGCTCAGCCACAAGCCAGGCTGACGGCTGCCAGCACAGTGGTGGTGGCGGGAGCCTCTCCCACCTCCTCAGCAGCACTAAGGATGTCTGACTGCAGCTTAGGCCTGCTCTCCGCTGGCAAGTGGACATCCCCCGAGGGCTGCCGGGCTGCCAGAGGGATGTCTGACTGCCAGCTTAAGCCCGATCCCCCGGGAAGCGGGCCTAAGCCAGCAGGTGAACATCCCCCGAAGGGAACCCAGACTGCGAGAGGGCACAGGCCAGGCTGAGGGACCCCCCCCCTCGAGTGCACAAATTTTTGTGCATCAGGCCTCTAGTGTACATATAACAAAACAAAAACAACAAAAAAAGGAGGATTTGAAAATGTTCAAGTAACTTGTCCACAATCATTTACTTACTAAGTATTAAGATTGACAATCTAACCCAGGTTTATCTAACTCAAAAGCCTTTTATGTTGTTGAATATGTTTTCCTAAAGTGCTTGAAAATAGCTCTTTTTCTTTAAGAAGATAAATCCTTCATGATAAACTTTGTTAAGTTATTTTCTTGCTTAGTCAATGCCATGATAACTTCAACCTAGCTTAAGAGGGTGCTAATCAATACATTTGGAAGTGGTGAAGAATGCATTAAGAATTCTTGACTGTAATTCTCAAAACTCATTACGGCATAAAGTTGGATTTGTATATGAGACTTAGCATTCTTCGTAACCTGCCATGCTTCCATGGCTTTGCTCAAGCTATTCCCTAGAATGTTCATCACAGTTTTCTACTAGCAAACTCTTTCTAATTCTTCACATAAATCCCTGCTCAAATGTCACCTCCACTTCATAAGTCCCTAACATCCCCAAGAAGAATTAATTGTTCTTCTCTCTGTGTTCCCACCTGTGTTAGTGTGCTAATCACATTCCATTATAGCCATCTGTCTTCTTGTCAGGCCTCCCCTGTGAGTCAGGCAGTTCAAAGAGGGGACCACACATTCACCTGTGTATCCCCTGAAGTCTCTCACATAGTAGGCCCTCAGCAAATATTTATTTAATAGGACTGGATTATTCTACTTCCCCAGCAAGCCTGGGATAAGATAATGTAAGCATCCTCTTTGAGCTAATGTGCTCAGAAACTCTACAAACACAGGTTTCTATGACAACCAACCAGCTAGGAGAAAGCAAGTGCTGTGATGCTTGCCATGATTTTGAAGCTTGCTGCCTGATTTTCATTAGGCCCCCTCTGGCTCTCTAGTCCCTGTTCAGTGGGACCAGAATCCGTTTCCAAGACTATTTGCATACTGTTATTATTCGGCTAGCTATTTAGATAAAATAAATGGAATATCGCTTAATAGGCAGATGCTCTGATACATTTTCTTCCTAAAGGATCTGATTCCTGGCATCCAAAGGAAACTGGAATTCAAGTTAGTATTAGAACCTGAATTTGTTCTGCCAGAGTGAAAAT